AAAATTTACAAATGTGTGTGTAAATATTTTCGTCCAAAATGAGTGGTTTCAAAAAGTTAAATCGGAGAATTTCTTCGAGAAAATTTCTGATACACACATGCTAAATTATATTCACAAAATAAAAAAAAAGGAAATAAAAAAGAGCAACATACACGATTATTTTTGTATTTGAATAAATATTTTCTTGGATGCAAAACCTGAGAAATAATTTTTTTTGCTCCGTTGGTATGATAAATTTCACAGAAACGAAGAAATTAGGTTTTTATTAATGAGAAAAATATTTTAAATCCATATAGATTTTTTACAAAAATTGTCTGCAAAGAAATGACAACTAATATATTTTAGTTCGTGGGCCACCAAAAAAGACTTCGCGGGTCAGATGCGGCCCCCGGGCCGCCAGTTGGAAATCACTGAGATAAATGTTGTCAGAGTCAAACTTATTGGAAAAGCATAGAACATATTTCTGATTTAAACACTAGGTAGCTCTATGAGTTCTTAAAATTTTACAATAAATGTAAGCATCTTTCTTTTTTCAGAAAAATATTGTCAAGAATTTCAGTTTAAAAAACTATCTTGAAAGTAAATGAATTCCTTTTCTAAGCAATACATAAATTTTCTTTCTTAAATAATAAGACTAACAAGATGCAATTTTCCTAGCAATTATATTGTTATAACTGTTACCTTTCACAATATATAAATTTCAATTAATATGTAAATTAATACTTAAATTAATTTTGTTAATATAAATGAATTTATATAACATATACATTAAAATAATTGTTTATATCATAAGTTTCATTCTTGAATAAGTTTAAGGACTAACAAGATGCAATTTTCCTAGCAATCATATTATTTTTTTTTTTTAATATTTAAGTTTCTTTAAATTAAAATTCAATCAATATATAAAAAATGATAATTTCTTCATTTCAATTTAAAAAAAGAATTAAGTTAAAAAAATTAAAAACCTACCTGAAAGCTTTGTAAAGAGGTCTGAACCAGCAAACAAATGACAATGGTGTAAAGAGAAGAAAAGCCAACAAGGCAAATCCAAATAAAGTAGCAGATCCAGCACCTGCTATCAATAGAGCTAAAGCAGCCAGCATGTTTAAACACAATACACAAGCATAATCTAAAAAATGACAAATATTACATAAATAATGAAAAAGATTAATCAATCATAAAGAATTGATAATTATGAGAAAAAAATAAGATTTTTTTAAAACAAAATAAAATTTTTGTACCTACACATACACATTTTTTTCCATCATATTTACATTGTGCAATCTTTTAAGTTGTATTATGTTAAAAATGCATTCTAGCTTTTAGTATTTTTTACAGAACATGAATATGAAGTTTTGTTTTGACCACATCATCTTTTTAAAATTTATATTTATTTAAATTTAGTTCAAAACTGAGTTTTCCTTTTTAGACAACAGCATTTTTCAACTTATTTTATTAAGTACGTTTTGGAAATATTCTTTTATTTTTTTTGCAAACATTTTCAGGAATGTTATCTTAACAGACAAAATAATATTTTTTATTTAAGAAAGGTCACGAAATAAGTAATTTTTTTTCTTCTAAATATACATCATTTTGGTGCATAATGTGCAAAAAGTAAAAGAAGTTGCGGAATAATAGGCCAAAATCACTTCATTATTAAAAGAAAAAGTTGAGAATGGAAAAATAAAAAAATGCATTATTAAAACATTTATAGAGATTTATAGCTCTTACAGTGTATTTTTTTCTTCAATTGCAAAAAAAAGAATTTCAAAATGGGAATTAAAAATAATTTTTTAACTTACGAAGAGGGGACAACTCTTTTTCAGTGGGAAAAAACAACAGATGGAAGAATGCTATTTTAGATGTCACAAATGCTCTATTGGTAAAACTTCATACAAAAACAAGGCCGCTAATATATACATAAGAAGGGAGAGATTTTAATTTGATTTTTGGACAAATAACAAGAGCCTAAATTTTCTGTATTAATTAATTAATAAATTTTTTTTGAGATACCAGACAAACTGCAATAACTTAAGATCTAAATAAGCGAATTCGTCCAGAAAATGGTACATAAGCGTAAGAAAATTATTAGAATTAAAAAGATACTTACACATCCATAAATAATACATTGTTTTCACAAGCTTTTGAAATTCCAGAGGGATATCAACTGCAATATCTTGATAAAAGCAGGGTCCAACACAAAATGACTCTGGCAATGGTGGCCAATTATTTGCTCTTGCTAAGAAAAATAAATTAAAATAATCAAATAACACAAAATTTTTAAAACAATCTTTAAAACATTGATTGAAACAAACAATATTACTAGTTACAATAGTTTAGTTCATCATATAGGTACTTAAATTTTTTATACTTCATAATCAAAATACTTGAACAGCAATCTCAAACTAAAAAGAGTACTTCCAAGAATATTTCTTTATAAATAATTTTTTTACATCTTGTTAAATAAAATAATCTTATTGATTAAGTTTTTTGCGTTATTTGAGGCATGTAACTTAACCTTTTAGCTATCGACCTCAGACTAGTTAGGGATATAGCCAATTTGCTTTCCTTCAAAAAAACCTAATTTCTTTCTTCTTATTCAATGCAGATAATTGTGGATAGCAAGGAAATTTTCATTCAAATTTGCAAAAGTAGCAAATCAGTTAAAGAGCTAACTCTTAAGTCAATAAAGCAAATTTTTTCTAAAACATTTACCCACCAAGCATTGCTACCTTACAACAACGAAAAATTATCTCGTAAATAAAAAAACAAACAGGCATTACCCTTAAGGCAGTTAAAGGGTTATCAAAGTTTATCCAGTCTGCTAATAAATTTCATTTTAATGTCTTTATGATAATTTAAAATTTGTTTCAGTTTCAGTCACAAGTTGAAATTAATAACAATATAAAATTTGGTTGTTTTCTTACCTAAATTATACAGTAACCATGCTGATTCAATTATATATATATATATATGAAAACTATTTTTGCCATTTAATAGGATCGGTTGAAACTGATTAAATTGAAGCTGCTTGTATTCTCTTGAAGAAAATGTCACATTAAAGTGATGCTGCATTATTCTAGTTTATGTTATGTTCCTTACTTAGAAGTAAGGTGTTATACTTATTACATTGAACATTCATTTAGATTATAGGCAATAAAGTTTCTTTCTTTCTTTTTTTTTTTGTAATATAAATAATAGCTATCGAATATTAAAATATCAAAAAATTTGTTTTCGGTTATTTTTAGTCAAGTGAAGACATTTTTTAAATTTGATAAATTACTTTTAAATTATATAAAAATTTATATTTAATAGTTTCCTTTTAAGGATTGTTGATTTCAATTAAAATTTCTTTTATTACTATTGATTCATTTTAAAATTTCTCACCATCAAATGTACCAGCCCTCAGAGCTTCTTCTTTAGCTTGAAGCTCAGCTTCTTTTTTTCGTAACTCCTGAAAGAATTAAAAGCCTTTTAATAAGTACACATGAAGCAAAACATTTAATTGAAAAAGGTTTAAAATTACATTATAATTAGAATAAGAAGTTCAATAAAAAGACAAGCAAGAGGGTTACTTTTGATAAACACTTCAAACATTGCTTTTAAAATATAATATTTCCGAAAAACAGTCTAAAAAATCTAGTCTTCTTTATGATCAGATAAATAAAAACTACGATAATATCAAAATATATCTAAAATTCCATTGTGTCTCTAAATTAAATCATGTTAAAAAATCTAAATCATATACAGTCGAANTGAATCTAGTCTTCTTTATGATCAGATAAATAAAAACTACGATAATATCAAAATATATCTAAAATTCCATTGTGTCTCTAAATTAAATCATGTTAAAAAATCTAAATCCTATATTAATCTTTTTCATATTGAAAATTTAGAAAAAAACACATATTTTATGGTAATTAATTATTTGGCCATCATTTTTTCATTTTCTGTTGAGTGTGAATCAATTATTTTTGGATCACATATTTTAAAAACATAAAAAACTTAAAAACATATAAAAATAAAAAATTACAATTGTAATGATAATGATGGAAAAAATTATACTTAATGTATTGCTGCTAGTTTTTTTAATAATAATTCTATACATTTTTTAAATTTAATTCTCAGTTACATTGGTAATTACTTTTTAATAATTGAATGTCTATTTAGATTATTATTATATTACTTAATAATATTATTAATTATGATTAAAGATTTTGAATGTCTTATTTATAATAAATACATATTTACCTCTTCTTTTCTTTGTAGCTCAGCTGATATTAGTGGTTGAGCAGCAGTTGGACTGTATGCAGGAGGTGGTTCAGAAATTGGTTGCATTACAGCTGGCTGTGAAGATTCAGGCTTTATTTGAGAAGTATTATACTGAGGCAATGTTCCTGTGGATGTTTTCTGAAAGCATAGGAAAAAAAATTTGAATAATTTTTGTTTCCTCAGAATTATACTCTGTGAAATGTGAAAATAAAAATTAATGATGAAAAATACTTTAAATACAAAACAAAAAGATTTTACTGATAAAATTTTATTATTAAAAAAATTAAGGACAAAAATAACAAAAAATTTTTTTACCATTAAAACTATAACTGCTTTTAGCAAGGATTTTCATAGATTTTTATTACAACATCTACAACACGGTTTATAAAATATTTTTAATAATGCGTGGGAAAACTTTAAAGCCAACTCTCTATAACCCTAGCTCAAATGTATTCTTAAAAATATTTCAGTAATCTAAAATTTGAATTAACAAGAAACGTAATATCCATATATTAACTAGGAAAAAATAGGTGCAAATAGGGAGAATTATAGTAACAATAAAGTTAGAAGAAAGGTTGCCACCATATTACAACCACATTTAAATGAGTCAATAAGAATAAGTCTTTCATAAATAACGAGTAGAGAAAAAAATATAAAAACCATTGTGAGTGAATACTATATACATATATTTTTTTACATCATTCAGTTTCTTTTGCTATTTTAAACTTTTTGATATAAAACTTTATTGCAATTCGCAGAACATTTCGGGCAAGAACAATCTTATACGGTCGAATAATCCATGTTCAAATAAAAATGAGCTTACCATAGAAACAAATATGCTAAAAAAATAAATAAGACTTTAAACTCATTACTGACAATTTTGAAATTTGAGCAGATTTTAATAGTCCCAAATGTTTTTCTCCATATTAGTATTGTAACATAATATATACTAATTTGCTTAATGGTTTGTAAAAATGTTACTTCTTTTTTTGGTAACAATTTCCATTAAAATACTTAAGGTTAGAAATCAGAGTCGCACTCTAGACTTTGAGGGGCCATGAACAAAACATTTTGCAGGGCCTTTAAAATAATCTTCTTCTGCTGAAGATACAAGCTAGTGCAGAAGCAACTTGGAAAATTAGATTTTCTCCTAAATTATGAAAATAAGTTTCTTTGATCCTTTTTTGATTTATTCATAAGAATGAACTACAGTAGAGCGCCGATTATCCGAACCCTTATTATCCGAACTTCCAATTATCCGAACTATGTCTGAATTCATTTTTTTTTTAAGTTTAGAATACTTTTTAACCTATCGACAATTTTTAGAAAAAGTAATATCCCCTACATCTGAAGACTATATTTAATTTACAACCTTTTTAGCCGTTTTCTTGTAGTAGCCGTACATACATGTATTGTGATAAAGTTAAACCTACATAACCCTTTACAACTGAAAATTATCTTCCAAGAATGCGAGCTTCATTTTGATAGTCATGGGATATGACAATGGTAGGGATGCAGAAGGAGTTTATGAACAGATAAGTGCTGAAGTTCTATAATTGGGGANGGTTTGTAAAAATGTTACTTCTTTTTTTGGTAACAATTTCCATTAAAATACTTAAGGTTAGAAATCAGAGTCGCACTATAGACTTTGAGGGGCCATGAACAAAACATTTTGCAGGTCCTTTAAAATAACCTTCTTCTGCTGAAGCTACAAGCTAGTGCAGAAGCAACTTGGAAAATTAGATTTTCTCCTAAATTACGAAAATAAGTTTCTTTGATCCTTTTTTGATTTATTCATAAGAATGAACTACTTCATATTTTCCATTTTTTTTAATAATTTAATTTTCAAATTTTATACTATTGTTTAATTCTAATTAGAATATATCAGGTGCAAAGATTTTAGAAATAAAGTATTTTGAGTTAATAAGCCCTGTTGAAATTTTCACAAAAATAGATAAATAAATAAATATAAAAAAAAAATAATAATACAGATATCTTCTCATTTCTTAAATTTGTATTTTTGATTTTTCTGAATGGTTTTCTTATGTGCAATTTCAAAAATGTGGCGACAACTACTTACAAAAGTAATAAATGTGATTAAAATAGTAAAGAAAGTTATAATATTTTCCATACTAAAAATGAAATTTAAAAAAAAAATAAAATATTTTAAAATAATTAAAAAATATTTTTTTTGAAAATCTTCCTTATAAGTCCTAGAAATGTGGGGGCTCGGAAAATTGCCCAGCTAGCCCCACCTTTATGAGGGGGAGAGAGAGAAGAATGCATATTTAACTTTTTAAAAGGCTGCAAGAGCTATATTACCCCCCCCCCCCCNCCCCAACTTCATACATTTTTAGAAGTAAATAGGAAGATATTTTCTTTTCCCATCTATGATTTGTATGACAATGTGATAACAACTTCAGAAATTTTAAAAATTAAAACTAATTGTTCATATAATTGAGTGCAATTGCAAAGAATAGTCTGGGATAGAGAGAAGAGGTCATCACTGGGAATGGGGGAGCTTTTTTGTCTTGTGTGTTATGCATTCCTTGATTTGAACATTTCTTATCTAGTTCAAATGTAGTTATAAATACAGAACTTATAAATTCTGTTATTTATAAACATAGAAGTTTAAGTTTGGGCAATTCTTTACGGTATGTAAAATTTTGAGAATCAATATTTTGTTTAACTTAATATCTAATTAACTTCAACAATTCCCTTTACCCCCTATCAATGAAATAGCTAAGTTTTGATTATATTTCAATAATGACTAAACTTATTTTTAAATAAAAAATATTTATAAATATTTTTTAAAAAGAGAGTGCTATTCTGCCACTGAATATTCAATATTTGGCCGATTTGTAAATACTGTAAGATTGTTCCAGGTAAGAAAAAGTAAATTAAATGAGCAAAATAATAAAACTCTCGGAATTGACATTTCCAATTATATTTCATTTATCTGATCAAAATTTAGAAATTTTATTAAGTGTGTAAAATATTAACAAATTCTATCATTCTAACTACTTTAAGTACAGTTAACAATTTCTAACTACAACTTAACTACTTAAGTTTAAAAATTTCGGTTACAAAAATCTCTCATAAAAAAAAAAGACCAAACAGTTTTTAATTTGAAAATACTTTATACATTAACAATAATAGAATGCCGTTCTTAGAGAATGCATGTCTAGTACCAGATATTTGATACTCATATTTAAATATTGTTATTTCTCTATAATCATTCTGCAGTTTTAAATTTACTTCAAATTACCAACTTTTACATTACAACATCTGTAAGATTTTATCTATAGTCAAGCAGATAAATACAAATATCATTTACAAGCTTCACAGATCAAATCATTATTTTAATTTATTAAAATACTTCTCAACCTTATACTTATCTATACAGTACAGTAATAATCTTCTGATTACCAAACATTATTTAAGTTTTTGAAGCATGTTGGATAAAATTTTAGAGACAAACTTTTAACGATATATTTTAGTACTTTAGCAAAAACTCAATTAGTTAACAATTTTGCCTTGATACCTTTGTTTTTAAAAGTTGTTTTTCAGCCAGGGTTTATTCAAAGTAAAAGTATTTTCAACCTTTAAAAAAATTTTAATCATCAAAAATTGTTGAGAGTCCTAAAATTAAAATTCCTTTAAAAAAAAAAAAAAGAAAAAAAAAGTTCACTCAGGAAATTAGAAATTTATTCTCAATATATTTTTTCAATTGTTGTTTTTTACAAGTGGTCCAGATATTCTCAATACCTAGACGGGAAACACACATCATTCTTTGTTATTATGTTAATTACCAATAAAATAAAAACAAACACACTATTTAGATAAATTTTTAAAATTTAAAAGTGTGTAAAATTTTAATCTATTTCTTAGATTTAAACAATAAAAAGTGTAAATAAATATGACTGAAATTAGTCCTTATCACTTGTTATACTCATTTTAACTCTTATATTTGATAATAAAGTTTAAAAATATAAATAGATCAAAGCATATTATGAAATTTTCTGCAAATTCAACATGTAAAATTTGAAATGAGGTAGTAAGTGTGAATCACTAATATCAAATTGTTACTTTTTATTCAGTCACAAAGATATTAACAACACATTGTGTTAAATTCTGACATCTGCCATGCGTCAGTTGAAACACTAGCAAATATCAGCATATTATTTTAAGTGAAATAAGTTTTCTTGATCTAATTATATTAAATAAAAACACATAAATTATGTTTTTTTAAAAATACTTTTCTGTTACATTTTTACTCCAAAAGAAAATATCAATATCTATTTTGATTATTGTGTGCATTTACTTCTTTTAATAAATTAGGATGCCTATATTTACAGTTAAAAAATGTGGTGAAAATGCTAAACAACTTAGGGTTAAGTATGAACAAATCACTCAGACAAAGGATTATTCATATATTCTAATCAGAAGAAAAAAAGTCGCCAAACCTATGCGACAACTGCACAGTGACAAGTAAGAAACTAAAAATAATAATATATCACAGATGGGAATTAATTTTATTGGTATAACTTGTAGCCTCCCTTTGATGGTCAACTGCTACGCATTTTTTCAAAAAATTCGTTATTAAAACACTTTTTCGGCAATTGGTTAGTACAGATACAGGAATATCCCCTTTAAACGAGACTGGTGGTTGGTTCAGTGTCTTAGAGAGAAATTAGGGGTGATAAACTTAAAATTTAATTGAAAATATTACATCTGTTAAACAATACATAAATAAAACAATATTTTATCATTGCGACTATCCAAACAATGGAACATAAATTTAATGCATGCTTGTATAATTATTATTTATTATATTTTTACAAGCCGTTACATTAAAAAAACACACACACATACAAATTATTTTAAGTAATTTTGAATGAATTTCCATTTTAAAACATGCACATTATACATTTTCTGTTGACATAAATATTATAACTTGCATTTTGTTGAGATCTTTGTTGATCAGCAAATGGGTTGTAATCATCTAGACCAGCTTGAGAATTATTTGTTTGATTAGTAACACTGGTAACTGCAGGATCCTAAAGAAAGCAAAAAAGATCAGTTATAAATAATAATAATTTTAATTAATAGAGATAATTTAGTGATAAGCAATGCAAGAACTACAATTGATTATCTAATTACTTTCAAATAGTTACGCCATTTAATTCAGTAAATGAAATAAAAAATAATATCAACAATTAAAACGAACAAGGTGTTTACAACTTACCGAAAAGGGACTGCTATTAAAAGGGTCTGCAAACGGATTAGCATCAAAACCAGACATTTTGGCCACTGAAATCTTTAAGATGCCTTAAAAATAAATAGCTGGTCAGTGTGTAGTAGAATCAGAAAAGAAAATGAAAACAATTAATACAATTTAAACAACTTCGATGACTCAAAGAGGCATGAAATTTTATTCAGATTATTTCTTCTTCACGTAAACATCTGGTTTTGTAATGATCAAAGGGCATATTGCCAGATTTGAAGTTCGTACTACTAATAATTTAATGAAAAATATAGACATTTTTTTAACAATTAGGTATATACATTAATAACTCAACGAATTTAGAGCATAAAATACTTTTAAGAATTTTAAATTTGAAACAAACTAAATTGCATTCTAAAAAATGGAGAAAAATGTCAATATTTCAACTAATTAGCATAACAACTTAACTCTTCAATGTTGTTCATGTGAGTATTTTGTTTTTTTCTTGATCGGGATGACTTCGTTGCAATGTTGTAAAGTTTACCCGGTGATGGTAAAGTTATATTACATTTAATAATTAGTACCTTCTTGAGAATTAATTACCAGTTTACCAATTCTCTTTGGGGGTATAAACGTCATTTATTGATTTTCCCCATGAATGCTGACGTCTTGTCTGTTATCAAATATTTGTGTTTAATTATCCTTATTCAATAAAAATGAAATGCTAGAGAACATTCTGCGACAAATATTTTAAAAATTTAATCTGAATAGTAATTTTGTTCATTCTGTCGTTTCGTTGCTGTGATTGCTGATAGATAAGGCAAATCAACAAGTTTGACGTGTAGTTTCGCATTCAAATGTTACCCTAAATTTAACTCGCATATCATTATATTTATCTTACAAGTTTAAATTATTCCAAAAATAAAATGGAAAAAAAAACTGTATTTAATCAAATTAATTTGATAGTGCTTGCTTAATTGTTAATCCCAATCTGGGTAGTACTGAACTAAATTTATTTGTAAACAAATGTGGAATTTGGCAAAATTTTATTTTTTGTAATAAGCTTTTCAATAGTTTTACTTCTTCTTGAAGAGAAAACTCAGCTGTCTTGTTCAGCTATGTAAAGGTTACGTATGCATACGACTTACCTGTGCAAAAACCCTATGGTTACTTTTTTTTGTGTGCATAATTTTAGTTTCTTTTACCTACTACAATTGCTTTGATTTTACTAATTGTCACTTTCATTCTGCTGAAATATTGTTTTAGACCTACAATATGAGTAGGGGTCACACCATCACTGAAAATATGGTGGTCCATAGGACCATCTAGGTATTAATTTAATAGTCTGAAAACTTTCTATGGTAGACAAACTTGAAAAGAAAAATTGAACTTTACAATTACGTAATTCATGTTATGGTTAACATCATCATGCTAAGGTACACATTAAAAATTATTAATTGCCATTTTTGTTGTCAAAACTAATTAACCAAATTATTGTCAAAACTTTACAAAGATACTGATAAAGAAATCACGTGGGAATGCCACCTAAATATCAATAAAGAAAAATTAAAAAAAAAAAAATTTAAAAACTGCTCTTAACTCTAAATCTGTTACCAAATTGGAGATAAGTGTTTAGGTGTGCTGTGTGCTTTTCTTTACATAATTTCAGTGCAGGCTCTTAATGATTAAAAAAAAAAAAAAAATTCAAGTAATAAAAAAGGGAATTATCTTTGCATTTTAAATATATTTATTTCTGTTGGTGACTTTTTTTTATGTAGGATATTTAAAGGCAAGAAATATTCAGTTTTATTAACTTTGTATTATTGAAAAAGCTTTAGTTACTATTCCGTTTTAGGGTTGTAAAAAACTCATTAGCTAAGTAATACTAGCACAAGTGTCTGTTACCAATTTTAAAATTACCGTTATTATTTAAACATCACTGGTTAGTGTTTGGCATAGTTGAACAATTTTTCATTGCCTCCCGAAGCAAAATAGTTCCTGGCTTTATTATGAATTTATACAAAACAATTTTTATCGTTTTAGTTATTCATCACACATACTCGGTAGCAGAAATCCACCAGCACAGCAATGGGCATCTATAGAGTATTTTTCATCTGAAATTTCTAATAAATAAGTAGATAGAGATCAAATGAATAAGTAAAGATCATTGATGAACAATTAAGAAAAATTTCTCTCCCTTTTGGCATCTCAAAACTACCAATCAGGCTGTGCTGTGCTTCGATGATGTAGTCTTTGAAAGGTAAATTATTTAAACAAAATTTGAATTTTTCACAAAAAAAGTGGCAATTGATCTGCAAAGGAACTGACTAATATGATAAATAATTTTTTTTTTATAGAAGAGCTTTGCTGAAATTCTTGCATTTGCTCAATTTCTTGTTTTATAGAATATTTTTCAGTGTGTTTTGAGGGAAGGATATCCTACATATTTTAGCTGCATGGTGTAACCTTTTTTTTTTAGCTTCTAACAGTGCAAGTTGAAACATCTAAACACTATTCCATTTTCTTTTCTTAGTGTAATGTCATATGTTTCAAACCAAATTAGAAACAACATACATTTCTTACGCTTAATTTTTATCTAACCTAACTTTGAGAATTTAAATTACGCAATACACTATATTTCCGTAAGCCTTATTTTTACAACAATAGTCTCAACCTGATTGCATTTGGGTTGCAAATAAATTTTGGTGTATGAAGATGTGCTGCTGGTGGGCTCAGTAAATTCTGCTACCGGGATCATACATAGTTCAAAATAACAGGATACGTAATTTTTTTGAAAAGTGGTTAAAGATTACAGTGTTTTCACTACAGCGCGAGAATCTCGCATATTTTATACTTTTCTCGCATTAAAAAATTATTACCGCGAGAAATTCGCGCATTCTATAAATCAATTCGCGAATTTCTCGCATTTTGAAAAAAGCTCAGAATTACGCCATTTAGAATAAAATCCGTTTCACTTTTCTTCCTGGATCTTTCATTATTTTCAACATCTGCCCCATTGTCTAGCTTCCGTATTTACCAGTATGGTTCAGAACCTTTTCGAACAACAGAACACAACCACGGAACCCCTTTCAGAACACATTTCTCTGCAACCACGTATTTACTGTAGGTAAGGTTTCTTCATGTAAGATGTTAAAATTTTTTATGCACTTATGTAAGATGGACAAATAGGAAGCAAAATCTTCTATGATGATGCACCAAAAATATTTAACGCTTTAAAAAATAGTAGACGTTAAAAATGTTTTATAATTAAAGAAGTGATTTTTTTTCACGAGTTTTTGTGTTTTTTTAGTTTTTAGAAATCTCATTTAACTTTTTGAAATCTCTCTGTTTTTGAGAAAGTGTGAGAAATTCTCACCCAATTTTTTTCTATGATGAAAACACTGGGTTAGTTCTAAAAAGCCCTGAAAAGTACTTTTTCGTTAATTAATTTTATTTCGTTAATAATTAATTTTCCCTTTTCTGAAATAAGATTTTTCTGTTTTCCATGACTGTTTTCTATGACTTTGCACATTGTTCCATTCAACATTTTCACAATTCATTCAACTGCAACTCATTTCAGCATACCATAGGTGCGTAGTGTATGAAAGCGCCAATTATTTTATATGTTGCGAGTTTGAAATTGCAAACACCAAGCTTAATTTGGTGGTTCTTGCACTTTCTGCTGATTTTGCAAGATTTCAGGATTTTTTTCCCTCCTAAAATCAAATTAATAAATCTCTCAAATTTTTGTTGGTCTTGAGGACTAACTATACTTTGCCAAATTTTTTTCTCCAATAACGAAATAAATTTTTTTTTATTTTGTAAATTTCATACTTGGTGTAACATCATTATCTTAATCACTGGCAAACCAATGACATTCTCACACTGTTCTATTTATAGATGTGTACCATATTCAGGTTCCGCTCTTAGAATTTCAAAGTATTTTCCAGTAAATTAGCCAAACATCAAAAGTCTGTATCAAATGCAAATTTTAAAAATTTTTTATAATAAATTTTTTCCTATAGAATTATTTAACTGGGTTTAATCTGAATTTTACAGTAGTTTGTTAAAGACTTATATTTTTTGAACCCAATTCTAATTGTTTGTGTGACGCATCTGCTGAAAATTATTGTAATCGAATAAAAAATACTGATTTAGGTAGAAAAATTAATTTTGACGTTATTTTAAGGTTCAAGTTAAATTCATTGAAAAGACCACCCTATGTAGCGACCACCTCTATTGACGACTTCTTTTTTGAGGCGCATAATTATTTCCACAGACTTTGTGTTGAAGAAAACTTTTAGGAGTGACCATTAAAACCTTTCTCAGTGACAGTGCAAACATCTGCCCCAAAATGCCGAAGAAGTCAGATAAGGAAACATGAAGAAAAAAAAAATTCATAAAACAAATAAGTAGAATAAAATGTGTTCAAAATATTTGTGAGAGGCTTTTATTCACAGAGTTCTTTGTGATGATATAACCTCACATTGCTGTCAAAGTGCGCTACAGACGATGTTATTAATGATTTCTTTTAGAGTTGAATTTTAAATTTAGAAAAAGGAGTATCTCAAATAAACCTTGTCTCAATTTTTAAAGCTAACTAATTTTTATGATATAAAATTAAATATTTTCATATTTGTTAAATATTATGAATGTAGGAACCATATAATAATTAACCTACTTCAGACAAAAATGTTTAATTCCAATATGCATTGTATTTACATTTCAAAATTATTATAATTTTTTTTAATCATTTTATTAAACAAATACTGGACATAGTTAATTTTAATAAACATTTAATGGGGGTTATTGACTTACACAAGTAATATGAATTTATTAAGATTTTCTTTGTTTGATTAATTATTTACATATCCTTATAAATTCAGTATGATTGATAATATTAATCTTGTTAATATTTTTGTTAAATAGTATGCTTTAGTAAATGACTTTTACTTAAATCTAAAAAATACACTTCAATAACTTTTTTAAATTATAGTTCAACTACTCATAATTTTGAATTAAAATTATTTTTTTCATAATTAAATAAATTAAATATTAATTTTAAAAATTAAATGAATGACTCAGTATTGAATATATTTAAAATTGTGCATTAATTGTCATGAAAGTGGCTTATATAATCAAGAAAGTCTTTGAAAATATATTTTTATTTTGTTAATTTTATGTTTTCAATATATATGTATATATATATATGTGTGTATGTGTGTGTACTTGTGTAGAACTTTAAACAATTAGAAGAAAAATTTTTATTAGTGCACATATCCTAATTATGATTTTTAATTTCTTTAAAAATATTTTTTGAATGCTTAAAAATTGCATGAAAGATGGTTCTTATTTTTTGTTGAAACATTTGATTATGCTCCCTGAATAATTAAGTATAATGAAACATTTTTTAAAATAGGATGCTTATTTTGGAGGATGTTTAGATCCGTTCAACTTCTGGTATTTCAAATTAATTATATTTTCTAATTTGTAGCATAATTCTACCAATGAACTTAAGATATCATTCTAATTTTCATATAGGTTTTTCGTGAACTGTACTTGTAATTAACTTTCTTATAATTTTCAATTTTAATTATTTTAAGTTGGAAATTTAATAATTTAATGTAATTCTAAACTTTTTGTGAAGATGTTTAATTATTGAATCATTATAATTAGGTTGAATATTTCCTCTGTAAATTTTTTCATTGCTGAAACAGAAGGTTGATTGATGCTGCTGCCTAGTAACATGGCAAGTGCAGCACATGGAGGTGATCATGGGCCTACGTCGCCAGATCATGAATTTTCAAATAATGAGATATCGTCCACTGGGATCTTTTCTTCGGAATTTAGAAAGTGAGCAATATTGCTTCTTTTTTAATATTGTTAATTTTGCAATGCATTCAAATTTTCATTTTACATTTCTTGTAAACTTTAGGCATGAAGATCTCAAAAATATGTTGGATGGTAATAAAGATGTTTTGAAATTAGAAGCAATGAAACGAATTATTGGTGTGAGTTGCTATTTTCATTCTTTTTATTGTGTTACTTACTTTTTAGTAGAATTTTTACTTTCTTTGATCACAAATATGTTTTTATTATTTATTAGGTGTGCAATTGAAGTACTGGTTATTTTATTTCTCATCTTAAATTTTCAATATTGTAATAGACTTCTTCTCATTTCTAACTATATTTTACTAATGGATGCTAAAATTATTAAAGAATTTATTTTATTTTTATTTAGAATGAAAATAAAATGCTATTTTATAAATCGTAATTGTTAATTTCTTTTATGCAGTTGAGATAAAATTAAGTCCTTAACTAATGCACTTCTTAGTTTGAGAAAATAATAATGAAGAGCAAAATGCTAAATAAAAAAGCTTAAATTATTTAAAAAAAAAAAAAAACGGAATTGTTAAATGTTTGTTGCAACCAACATTTTGTAGCTTATTAAATAATTTTATATGATTAGATGTCTTTCTACTTGCAGTTTTAAAGAAATCAGATCTGTACAAGTAAAGTTTTGGGTTTATTTTTAAATCTGCTTTTTTAAGACTTTGGTGTTTTTTGAATTTTGTATTAAAAACAGATCTACCAACTCTGGCTTTTCTGTTAATTACGGGACTTACCAAATTATTTTTACAGGCTTTTTGATACTTACCGTATATTCCGGCGCATAACGCGCCCCGGCGTATAACACGCACCCGTAATTTCCAATAACTTTTTTTAAATTTTAAGATATACTCTTCGTATAACGCGCATTAAAATTTGGATTGTACATGTGCAATATCTCGTCTAGTATCTATAGAAAACCAGAAAACCTTTTAGTGTGGGACATGTTTTGGTCCCACCTTACAGATTTTCAAAAAAATTTTTGAAAGTATGTAGCACCGATATGGCAGTTATTCCGGGCGGATTGACACCATTAATTCAGCCATTGGACGTCTGCTTAAGCAAACCATTTGAAGCCAATTTAAAAAAAACAGTGGAACACTTGGATGTTGGAGGGTAAGAAAACCTTTACGAAAGGAGGACATATGCGTCATGCAAGTTTGGAAACAGCGTGCGAATGGATATTAAAAGTATGGGATGAAATTAAGCCTGAGATGGTTAGAAAATCATTAAAAAAATGCAGCATTTCAAATAATCTGGACGGATCAGAAGATGACTGTTTATTTATGGATGAGGGTAACACAGATGATGAAGACGAAACAGATTGTGATGACGTGCCTGAAGAAATAACGGAAGACGAACATAATGAACTATTTACGTAATAACGAAAATCAATAAAGTATATAGGTAAAGGTATGTCATATCTTTAAAATAAAAGTATTTTTCTATATTAAAATTTTTTTAATCTATAATTTTTTATATTCGGCGTATACCGCGCATCCGAAAATTCCAATGTTACTTTTTGTTTTAAAAGTGCGCGTTATACGCCGGAATATACGGTACGTATTAACGCAACCGGGCCAAAATTCGCATAAATCGCCAAATTTGGCGACCTTACTTACGGCAACCCTACGTGTTATACGTGGTTTTTCGTAAAGAAACAAAATAATAATAAGTAATTTTGTTTTAATAATAATTTGATAATTTTAATAATAATTAATTAATGATAATTTTGTTTTAAATAATTTTAAAACAAAATAATATAAAAAACTGTATTAAAAGTTATCTGTAATTAATAAATGTACATTTTCTTTCTATTCATACTTTCTTACTCAAACTTACAAATTGCGCCAACCTGGTTGCGATAATACGTAAGTACTGGCTTTTTTCCCAATTAGTGTATAAATTAGCAGACAAGTGCATATTTTACATACACCTCCTGAATAAGTTTGTAGTTTAAATGTTTAGTTCTAATTCCTTTTTAAAACCCCTTTTTTTTAAATAAATAAATACTAATTGAAATATCTGATTATAAAAACCACTGCTTTTAGCGATGTGGTTATTTAAAAAAATATTTAAAATATTTTAATTTTTGCTGAAATGACTAATTTTGAATTCATTCTTTTTTTTAACATCAAATTTTTTTGTGGATATATTTTTTGTATAAGTTTTTAGTAAAGTGGAGAAAGCTTGTTTCTCGATATATCTTATGTAAATATTTAAATTGTTTATTATTTATTTATAGATGATAGCCAAAGGAAAAGATGCTTCAGATTTATTTCCTGCTGTTGTCAAAAATGTAGTTTCCAAAAATATTGAGGTAAATAAATTTTTTGAACTTCCTCTGTTATATCTTGAAAACAAACACAAATTAAATAATACTTTGTTTGTAATCAATTTTTAAAATTATATTTTTAGGTTAAAAAACTTGTTTATGTTTACTTAGTGAGATATGCTGAGGAACAACAGGATTTAGCTTTATTATCTATTAGTACATTTCAAAGGGCTTTGAAAGTATGTTTTGTTTAAATAATTTTTTGCTGATTAAATTCATACTTTACCTAATGTAAAGTTTTAGTTATCATTAAATGTTTTTTAATATTATATTTTAAGATAAGTTTTATTGAGTGAATTTCAGGAAAAAAATGTGCTTATATTTGTACTTTATATGACTATAAATAAGAATTCTATTAATATTTGTTATTTAGGTTTTTAAGGAGAATAAATGCTGTTTGTGTTTTTGGTTTAATACAAAAGATGCATGTTTTTTAAGTCAAATGTGTGCAATTATTTAAAATAAAATTTTTTGCAAATATTTAATTTAAAAATTCTTTTAATCACTTTAGCTTCTCAGACTTCTTTAGCTATTATTTTTATGAATATACATTTAAAAAAATGTGTTGTGAAAAGTATTAAAAAATTTAAGAATGATAGCTACTTAAATGTGGAAACTCATAGTACAGTTTTAAATTTTATTTCTGTGCTTATTATTTTTTGTTTTAAGGATCCTAACCAATTGATACGTGCTAGTGCTTTGAGGGTATTGTCAAGCATTAGAGTTCCTGTTATTGTTCCAATCATGATGCTTGCAATTAGAGATGCTGTAAATGATATGTCCCCTTATGTTAGAAAAACAGCAGCCCATGCTATTCCTAAGTTGTACAAGTAAGATAATTTTTATTATTTTTAAAACATTTCTTAATTGAAATATTTTTATGAATAATTTTATTTTGCACATTAAATTTATAATATATATATGTATGTCAATATCTAATGATATTGTTTCCTTTTTATCATTTGTGTTTGAGGCAGTTGCTAGTATAGCTGACTTTTTTAAATTATGGAAACTAAATTCTACATTTGAAAGTGCGCATTTTCAAATTATACTTAATTGTATTGCATTATTACAGAATTTATACTATCAATGAAATAATGCAACAATTGTAACCAAAATTTGTCTGTGGTCTCAAACCAGTATGGAATTTCTTTTTCTTTCTGTATTTTGTAAAATGTGTTGTATATTTTATAATTATATATTAACATAGAGTTAGAATTAAATTTTAAATTTATGTAATGCAGAGTTTAAGCTTTAAAGTTTTTTTTAGCAAAAATATAAATTAAAGCTTTTTGTAAAATTATTACTTTTTTTATTTATTTACTCTTTTTTTTTGTGTACAGGTGTATTTTTATTGTAAATTATTATTACACATTTTTGATATCTAAAAACTGATGATAAAGAATAGCTATATACTAATAGTTTTAAAAGATTTAGGAATATAAAAAAATTAAAGTTTTTAATCTTATAAAAAATTATTTAAACAAATATTTATAATTGAATAATTTATTTGATTCATTTTATAGTTGATGATTTGGTTTCTAATATTTATGACATTTTTAATCTTTTTTTAACCCCCTGAGGATTAGTCTGAGCTTTTTCTAATCCAAGATAATATATTTAACTTAATAAATTTTAATGATGTTTAATGGGTTACTTTTATTTTGGCCACCCTGTATGCATAAACTATACAGATGTTTTTTGATCTCAAGTTAAAGTAAACGATCTATACATGCAATACCCTTAATCTTATGCAACAGAATATTATTTATGTGCTTTCTAAATACTCAGATTGTTAATAAATGTATTTAAAATGTATAATGAATAAAACATTTATTTTTATTAAATTAAATTTAAAATAATTTGGCTCTGAAATTTTAAAAGTATATTGACTTCATATGTAATTAGTAATTTAAAAATGAACAAAGTAATCACAGTGCATTTAAGTTTCTTTTAGACATTTTTTGTTTTATAAGAATGTTTATTTTAATTAAAACTTAGTTACTTAAACATAAAGCACTTCTCTTTACAGTCTTGAACCTGAGGAGAAGGACCAGCTGATTGAAGTTCTAGAAAAACTATTATCTGATAAAACAACAGTAAGAATAATGTATTTATAATGTATATTATAAATCAAACTAATTTTATTTCAAGTGATCAAGATATTTTTTGTTTTGGCCTATGAGATTCTTTCAACATTTAGTGGAATTTCCGACTTTCTAAACTTCTTAAAAAAATTAAATTTATTAGCTTTATTATTATTTTATTCTATTTAATCATTATTAAGCTTAATAGTTTGTTGGAATGTCATTGTACAGGTACAGTAAAAAAAAAAAAAAAAGTACTTCAAGCATATAAATATTTAAATGATTTATTTTTGTGAAAATAGCTTCATGCATTTTCCTAAATTTGAAAATATTCCTCAAGCTAATGTTTGGTTAATTCAAAGTTATTTTATAAAGTTTCAGGTTCTTTTTGTAATTCTTGAATGTTATCTTTTCATGTTTTAATGTTTGTTTTTAAACTTCAGCTGGTGATGGGTAGTGCTGTGATGGCTTTTGAAGAAGTATGTCCAGAAAGAATAGACTTGATACATAAAAATTACCGAAAGCTATGCAATCTTTTAGTTGATGTTGAGGAATGGGGCCAAGTAATAATTATCAATATGCTTATACGCTATGCACGGACACAGTTTGCTGATCCAAATAAGTTTGTATGTAACATTTTTGTATCGGAATATCCTTTTAATTATTTTTTCCTTATTTAATAATGTGTGACTTTTTAGGAGGACAATAGGAATGGAAAAGAAAAACCTTTTTATGATTCAGATAATTCTCATAGCAAAGATGAAGATGATGTTAAAGATTCCAAGGCTTATGTTATGGATCCTGATCATCGTTTGCTTCTGAGAAATTGCAAACCGTTGCTTCAAAGTCGAAATTCTGCGGTAATGTGTGCACTTTTTAAAAAAAAATTATTTCTTCTAAAAAGTTTTATTTTTCTTGTTAAACCTAAAATAAAATTTTTTTATTTATTAATATTTCATACTTTTGTGTATTTTTTACTAAAATTATGTTTTTACTAATCTGATCAAGAAGGACAACAAATAATCTATACATATAATAAAGAATTTCTGTGTATGTCTATCTGACTGTGTGTAAACCAGATTGATGGTTGGTATACCATAAGCTCTAAGAATGGGAGATTCAAAATGAATGTAAATGAGAAGTATTGTAAACAAATTAAGAAGCGCGATTTTTGATGTTTTAATTATATTTTAAATCCAGAGACATTTAAAAAAAGAAATTTTCATTCGCTTAGCGGAAGCCAGTGTTTTGAAATAAACTATAAACTATTCAGTGTTTCAAATATTTTAAAGATATCAGTTACGTTTGCTGCGTTATATCTTTAATCAAGAAAGATGTTATTTGCATTTTCTGTTATACTTAATTATATTTTATTGATTATGCAAAGGTTATCTGAATGATTAACACAATCGTGGTAGCATAAGCAAACTACATTACCAAATTAATATTTCTAACATTGTTTAAAACCATCATGTTTATTTTTGTTATGCTTTTAAAATGGGTTTTTATAATACTCAATAATTTAAAATTGGCGGTAATTGAAATAAAAAATAAAGTTTTGTACTGAAAAGCAAAATTAATGGAGCAAAGGAACTAATTTGTTATGAAGTACCGTAAAAACTCGCAATACTATTGTTGACACCAATAATGCATAATTTTGGTAATGAGTACTACATCAGGTAATTGGTGCAGTTTTAATAGGTTCCAAATGTACTCTTATATAGAGACAGCATATTTTAGAGCAAATTTGGTGCCAATTGCAGCTGCACCAATGCTGTGCATTTTTATAATAGATTTATTATAAAGATTGATAAGTATAGGAGAAAGTATCTTGACTGTGATTAATTTTGAATGCCATGATTAGTCTTAAAGAACAGCATTATTCCAGATGACACTGAATGCATTTAGTCATTATTTTGGTGGGATGAGCTGCTAAAAATGTGTTTTATAATATGTTAAACCACCGGGAAGAGTAGCAAATAATCTATGCATAAAATAAAACTTAGAATTTTATTGTGTCTGACTGTGTATCTGTATACCAACTTGCAGATGTACTGTAAGCTCTAAAAAAACAAGATTAAAAATGGATCTAAATAAGTAAAGTTATAAACAAATTATGAAGCCCAATTTTTGATTTTTTTTTTAAAAAATTATATTTTAAATACAAGAGACATTTTAAGCTTATCTGAAATCACGTTTTTTATTTTGTTTATAGTTAAGCTTTTTAATCGTGTTTTACAAAACTAAGCAATTTAAAATCAACAGTAATTGAATGAAAAATAAAAGTTCAAAATTAATCTAAATGAGTAGAAAAGTAAAAAAATTTAGAAGCCTGATTTTTGATTTTGATGGATAAATGTAATTCATTTTGTTTAAGTGAGCTTAAAAAATCAGTAAACTATTATTGATGTCAATGATGCTTACTTAATTTTGATAATAAATACTAAATGAATCACATGAAAAGATGCTGAGCTAAAAAGAAAAATTAATGGAGAAAATGTACTAAATCATTATGGGGTACTGTGGGCATTGTGAAAAGCCGGGATACTGTCTGCATACTATTATTGATACCAATAACGCTTGAGTTTGGTAACGAGCACTTTTAGCATTATGGTAATAGGTGAAGTTTTGATAGATACCAAATATACTTTTATATAGTTACATCATATTTTAAAGTAAATGTGGTGCCGATCACAGCTGCAGCGATACTGTACTTTTTTTGATAGATTTATTACATAAATAGATATGTACAGGAGAGAATAGCTACACTGTGGCAAATTTTAAGCATCATGCCTTGATCAACGGCATTCTGCCAGATGATGCTGAATAATACAGTTGGCCTTTATTTTGATTTGATGAACTACTAAAAACTTGCTTTACTTAATTTAATAATGTAAAGCAACTGAGAAAGTCAACAAATAATAATAAATAAAAAACATTGGAATATTTGTGTCAGTATTAGTCTGAAAATTTTGTGCATTGTTTTGTAGTGTTGCTCAGTGCAGATTTATTGATGTGTTTTTTCATTCAGCTTGTATATATATAGAGAGAGAGATAATTTTCATATCTGTGTTTGGCCTTTCAATATTTTGTATTTTAATGAGAACTAAATATCAAAATCTATAATTATTTCATAACTTAGTTTGTTTTTGCTATAATTTTTTGTTGGTTATTTCAGAAGTTATACATTTTTATTTACAAATTCATGGATGTAGTATAAAAAAAATCCACTCCATTTTCATTAACTATTAATATTATTTTTTTAAATAATGCATATAGATTTTAAATTACTAAATAGTAAAGCATATAAATAGCTCATTATTTTTTTAAATTTTAGCTTTGGTTATAATAATTATATTTAATCCTACGACTGAAAGAAGTTGAAATAAAATTTTATTTATGATGATTTGTAGTATACTCTGTCTATCTTATATTATTCGACTATAAATTTAAAACAAAAGTGTAGGGTTGTTTAGAATCAGTAACTGCGCTCTATATCTGCCTAAGACAACAACTTAGATAATTCAAATTATTACTTTCATTATAATTAAATTCCTCCAATTGCAATTAAAGTATTAAAATATGGTTGGAGTGAGGGAAAAAAAAGTGCACAGTTTTACAGCATGCTAAAAGCAACTGTGCAATTAAAAATAATGTAACTTTCACTTTTCTGAAAAATAAATCTTCATTTCATCAATATTGAAAGTAATAAGAATGAATTTCTGCTTAATTATTAATTTTTTTATTTACTTGAAAAAATGTCTGTTCCAAATCAATTTTTTTTTAAAAAAAAGACTAATTTCTTCTCCTTTTTTCAGTTTGTGGGTTAACTTAAATACTTCTATGAAAAAGAATATAAAATAAACCATTCATTAAAGAGTTACTTAACACTTTAACTCTTATCAAATCAGTTTATTAATGAGTAAGCAAAATGTAATGCTAAACTGTGCTAAACAATCATTTTCATCTGTATCAGTGTGTTTGGCATAGGTAAAAGTTTTTCTCAATTTGTGCCCAAGATTGAATTAAAGATTAATATGTTTTAAATTTTTGAAATTATTTTTCTTTATTTACTGTTAACAATAATTTATACTATTCTCATTAATGCACTAAGTTTAAATCTTTTTAGTGATACTAAATCTTCACACAGAAACATAAAAAATGAACAATAATGAGCCAGCTAATGTGTTAAATAATTTCTAGATTTTATTTTTAACATTATTTCATCTTAAATTGCCTTAAAATATTTTTTGTGTTTAGTAGCCAATTTTTATTTTATTAGAAATTTATTTGATCTATTTTTTTATAGGTTGTCATGGGTGTTGTGCAATTGTATTATTATTTAGCTCCTCGTTCTGAAGTTAATATTGTTGCAAAAGCTCTTATAAGATTAGCCAAAAGTCACAGGTAGGGATTCAGTTATTTGATTTGTATCTGCATGCATGATCTAATAGTTAACTATTAAATAAGCAATAATATTTAAAATGATTTTTAAACACTTTAATGACCGTTAACCTCCATGAAAACTTATACTATGCTTTAGTATAAAAATTAATCTTAATTTTACTTATAATTAAAATGTGAACTGTAAATTGCAGACTATTATGTAACATTGCTTTTATAATAATGATTTTTATACCTGTAATCAAAACATGAATTGTAAATTGCTGTCTGTTATATTACATTGCTTATATAGGGATAATTTGAAACATATGTCTTTGCTTTTGCAATGTTTAAATCTATTCCTACTTATTGTTTAAACATTTTCAAATTTTGTACATGCTTTACTTAATCATCTTTCATATTAGACTGACCTTCCATATTAAACTCACCCTACATATTAAAATAATGACTATTTAAGCATTTAATTTATGTAAAGCCAGATGAGTAATTGAATGAATGAGCTGTGTAAAGTTTAAAATAAGATATTGTCAAAAAATGTATTTTTTAGCTGGGTTTATCTAAACAATGAGCAATGTCATAATGAGTGTAAATGATAAGACCAAGTTAGAAATGAATAAGGACTAAATGGTTTTATTTAAAATAATAAAAAAATATAGTAGGAACATTTTAATACATATCTATTAAAAATCATCAAAAATCAAAGTAATTTACTTTTTATTTTATATTTTCATAGATTTTTTAGTTTTTGAAAATTTATAATTTTTAATAGCAATAGTCTTATTAACTTTTTCTAGAAATAGGTTCATCTTGCCTTTTTTTCTTCAGATGTTTGTGTTTAAGAAATTGACGAGATTAAAATATTGCTTAGGGGTAAAAAGATAATCAGGTTAAAAACAAACAAAAAGAAAGTTTTATGCGTAATAGTACACAATATTTTGCAAAATAATAATTATTATTATTATTATTTTTTTTACTGCTCTAAAAGCAAGTTAATGTGAAATATTCTTTCTTATATATTTACTTTTTCATGAAACAACATGGTAAAGGAGATCAGTAAATCAGTTAGTTATTTATTGCAAATTAGATTATTGCTCATTATTATTAAGACTTATTCATGTGTGTAATTTCACTGAAGACTATGATTCGCTGTTATATATGTTACTGTGTGCAAACAAATAATTACTAATTGAATTCCAATTCAGTTAAGTGGTGCTAATAAAACTTAACGCTCAGAAAAATAATTTCTAGTTGCAGTTAAGTTGCATGAATCAAGTGGCTATAACATCTTGTTCTAACTTTGGGAAGAACTGGCTGATTTCTTAATTTATAAGTGTTGTAATTCACAAGTTAGGGAATTGGCAATTCCATGCATTTTTAATTATAAAAATACTTACTACCTGTGAATAAATAGTTACTAACTAAATTCCAATTAGTAACTATTTAACTTATTATATTCTGAATTAAGAAATTGTTTATCCCCTACCAAGAGTTTAAGAGAAACATCAAGTTGAAATTAATGAATTGCTGATTAAAATAAAATAATATAGAATATTAGCATTAATTTACTAAATAAATTGGTGATTAAAATTTAATATATAATATTGACAATTGTTGAAGCATATCCTTTTTCTAGTCACCAATTCAACTGCAACTATTTTCTATTTTAAGAAAGTGATAACTAATATTAATTAGTAAAGCATTATTAATAATTGAATTTTGGTTTTAATTTTTAAAAGTAATAAAGGTTAGTCAACTTAAAAATGCTATAAAGCTGTTTAAATTATTTTAAAAACCTTTTTTTAATGAGCATAGAATTGTTATGAATATCACATTTTTTTTCTATTTTTTTTCCAGGGAAATTCAGTCAATCATTTTAAGTACAATAGCTACTCTTACTACCAAGTTTAAGGTATGAGTAAATGAAGTTTTTCATTTTTTATAAATCATAATTTTGTGTATAAATTGTCATTTAATATTAATTTGAGAATTTAGCTATTCATTGGACTAAATATGCATTGATATTTTTTTTAATGGTTTTTAGTGTGTAATAAAGATGTGGGATCATATATATTCATTATAATAACTTCTCATGACTTCTGATTTTTTTCATTTTTCTTAATCAATAATTGTTACTGATATATAAAAATGTTCAAAAGTTATTGATTTTATAAAAAGTTTGCATAATACTTTTAGCTTAGTTTGTAAAGTGTAAAACTTATATAATATTTTTGTCTGTCAGTAATAATGTTTTACTTTTAACATTAATCTACTTTGTTTCTTTCTTTAAGTTAGATTGACAAATAACCAGACTTCTTTTTGCAGACTGTAATATTATGATGTTAGGAAACTAAAATAAATAAATTACCTTTTTAATTTTTGGTTTGTGAATTTTTAACACCTTTTTTGTTAGTACATCTTTCCAATTTGTTTAATTATCCTGAAATCTTCTTAATATTTATTATTTAGTTGTAGTATTACAAATATTTTGTTTCAAATCATGCCTTTTTTTATTTATTGAATTTTTAATTGTCCAAAAATGATTGAATTAACTCAAGTAATATCTTTGTTCATTTATGCTACTTTTTGGAGATAGAATCATGTAAGTTTTCAATTTTAGGAACGTTGATATATTATGAAAAATTTATTTTTTAATGAATAATTTTTTTTCTCCATTTAATTTGCACAATTAATAGAATATGGATGAATTCAGATAAATTTATAAATATGAACTGTTTTTATTTCTTGTATCTGAAGCACTTTTTAAATAAAGTATGTTTTATTATTAATATTTTTGATCCAAAATTGTACTAATAGTGTAATAATGCAAGTATTTCAGTTATTGAATATTCTTTCCACTATAAAAAATGCATAATATTGCAATATAATTTCAGGGTATGTTTGAACCTTATTTGAAAAGTTTTTTTGCACGATCAACTGATCCTACCCACATTAAACTACTTAAGGTAATATTAACTTATTGTACTATCTATTACCATAATTTCATCTATATTAACCATGCATATTAATGTGATAAAATTTTAGAATGCAGATTATATGCATAGTTTTGAGTGTTCTGGTATTTTTTCTCCCCACCTAAAGGGGCTTTAAATCCATTCATTTTAAGTGATAAGGTTTCAGTCATGCTTCTAATTTAAAAGAATTAAATTCACTAGAATGTTATTGATTTTAAGATGAATTTCTTGTAAAGAAAATATAATTAACGGATGAATTATTATTTTGCATATCTTCTGTTTTTTATTCGTAGATGTTATTCTTCCATTACTGATATTTTATTTAACATTCCATTATATGATGTTTTATATGAAGGTTACTGTAGAATAGCTATTACTGTGGTCAATATTATTGAAACATGTAATACAGTTTGAATTACTTGTTTTATTTTATTTTGGTTTCTAGAGTGTGGATGATGAGAGAGAAGCATTTCTGTATATTTTACATTTAATTTTCCTTCTGCAAAATGTACTTTAGTTAATTACTTCACTTTACGTTTATTTCCTATCCAAACTGTTTAGGGAAATATATATTTGTAACAGACATTGCTTTATTATTTTCTTCTTGTATAAATGAAGCAATATATTTCTTAATATTTATTGTTTCAAACTAAGTGAAAGGATTAAACTAATTACAGATCATATGCTTTGTTGGATTAAACATGATTTTGTTTTACAAATGTTACAGAAAATCAGTGATATCTTTTTTGTTTTACAAATAATATGCAAGAAATTAGATTAATTTCAAAGTTTTTAACCATTTGTTAGTGAAAATTGGTGAGTGATATCTATTATAATGTAGAAGTGATATATATTATGTCTCGTTATAAATAATAGGCAGGATGTTAGGTTAGTTTCAAATTTTTTTAAACTAATATTATTTATAAGTTTCTAATTTGTATTAATTTTTTTTATCCACAGTTAGAAATTTTAACAAATTTGGCAACAGAAGGAAATGTATCATTCATTTTAAGAGAGTTTCAAGTAAGTTTGTTCATTATAAACTCCAGTTTCAGCATAAAAGTTAATCTTTTAAAATATTTTAATTGCTATACTGATAATTTGTTTTCTCTTGATTTTTTCTTCAATGTTTGCTATAGATTTTATTACAAAATAAAAGTTTTTATTATGTTAAAAAAAATCAAATAATGAAAAATAAGTGTTATTAAATATTTTTGCATTGAATAACGTTTAAGTTGAGCTTAGGTATAATTAAAATAACTTTTCTTTTAATAATTAGTTTTTATACTTAACATTGAATAATTTTGAAACCTTTAAGTAAAATTGATTTTTGTTCTTTTTTTCTTCTAAATATTAGACGAATTATAAGTTAATTCTGCACTCTTTTTATATTCGCCTTTTCTTATTATTTGGTCAAATCATACTTGTATAGTTTGAGTTGCTATGTTGTACAATAATGCTTTTTTTTATTTTTTCATGGTTGTAAGTGTACCACCAACATATGGCTGTATAATTACTTTGTTTAAATTTCCTATTTTAAAATTATGTTTGGTATATAAAAGAATAGAACAGAACTATGAAATAAAAAATAAAATAACAAATCAGACACTTGGACAAAATTAATTTACTAATTCATTATCTGTTTTATTATTAATAATATATTTTTTGGAAAAATCACTCAATGTAAAATAAGTTTAAAATGTGCCTCTAAAAACGTATAAAAAATGATCAATATTATTGATTGCACATCAAGAATTTGTCAAACATAACCTGTTATCATTTACTCTCAAAAATGTGACTGAAAATATATTTTTTAAAAAAAAGCAAGTACAACCTGAATTGATGTATTTTCTAGTTCAGGACTGTCCAACTGCAAAGAGCCCACGGGCCGGAAATCCGATCACTGATCACCTGGCTGGCCGAAGTTTGAAAAAGTTGAACAATAACCTCTTACCTCTTGTACAATGACAGTTAATAGTTGAATTATTAATTATAAAACAATGGAACAGAAGGATTATAAAACAATTTGCTTACATTTTAATGGGTAAACTGAGACCGATCAGCCTGAATAAGAAGTTGGCGGGCAGCATGTTGGACAGCCCTGTTCTAGTTGATGTGAATAAAAAAGAAATAAAAAAAACTTGATACCAAAAATCGGGAAAGCTAGTTCATTTTAGGAAAACAGTCAGGTTTATTCTTGTAATAAAAAAAAAATACTGACATCTACTTATGTCACTGTCGCGGGTAGGTGTTTAAAAGTAGTATTAAGTGGTTTGTCGTGATATACTTTACTTTGTTTTTAATCAATGTTAAGCTTTATATGAATTGTGACTATTGTTGATTTTAGGTAAGCAAAAAATCCTCATCAAGAAATATTTTACTCTGATGCAAACTGTTGCTTTGCTAAATTTAGGTAGAAAAAAACTCTCCACCAGGAAAGCATTCCCCTAAAATGTGCTGTATCGCATATTTTTTTAAAAAAAAGGAGTTGTTGATCAGTTGCATATTTTGAATCATTTGCTGTAGCAACATCTTGATACTAATTATCATTCAACACAACATATTTTAAATCTTCATATATGGCTATAAGGCATTTTTTTTAAAAATTAAAGTATTTACACTTGTAGGAGATCTACGAAATTCTTAATAGAGTATGTTATTCAGGAGGAGACTTAACTCCAAAAAATCTGGTGGATCATTTGCTGTAGTGAATTCTTGACACTGCTATTCATTCAACACAATGTATTTTAAATCTTTATGTTAGGGAATATAACTTTATATTTGTATAATATTTTCTTTTTTATGATTGATAAAGATAGTAATGTAAAAAATAAGTGTTTATTTTATTTAGATTTACATTTCTGTTTGTTTAAACCTTTATTAAATTTTGGAATTTGTTTAAAATTTTTTTTCTTATGTTCTAAATAATTAAAAGCATTTTATATTGTAAAATTTTTAAATAATTAAAACTTTTTTTGTTATAAATTAATTTTCACTGGTACAAAATTGAAAAACTTGTAATAACTAGCATTACATATTAGCTTTAATAATTTTTCAAATTAGACAATAATTATTTAATAATTATTTAGAAATTAAACTTGGTGTTGCTGAAATTTGCTTTACACATTTCTTAACTAACTTAGTTTAGAAATCTGTAAAGCCATTTTTTTCATCAATAATAAAAGTAATTCTTTTTATCAATAATAAGAAAAAAAGTAAATGTTATCAGACTGGTGAACAGAATCGGCTGTTGATTTTAATATTATATTTTATAATTATGATCTGTAAAATTTTTTTAAGTGGTTTCAAAAGTGAGATAAATCTAGAAGCTAGTAATAAATTTTTATTTTAAACTTATATATGGGTGCAAAAAAATACCTTGGGGGATAATTTTGTAATTCGCACAATTAAAGCATTTTTCTATAGTTTTGAAAAATCTTAGCTACCACTTATTTTTTTCCAGGTCCTGGGAAGCCTGTAGAATATTAAGAACAAAAACTGAATTTTTGTAGTTAAACATCATGGAACATTTGTATTTAAACATTTGTATTTGAACATTTTCTTTGTATGATCAGGGGTCTGTCCAGGCCGAATTTGCTACCGTTTAGCGGTAACTTCACAAATTCAATTTTATTTAAAACGGTAGTTTCACAAATTCAACTTTAGGAAAAACGGTAGCTTCACAAAATACTTTTCCTTAAAATTTTGTTTTTGTATCCGTTAAGAAACATTAAATCTATATTTTTACCATGTTTTTGTGCTGATATTTTAATATAATTTTTAACTTTTCACAAATTATGTCTAAATTTTCACAAAATAGGTACCTTTCAGAAAAACCTAGACAGACCCCTGATGATACTTACATATAACATAATAGTATTGTATTTACAGTTTCTAAAATGTAACTGATATATTCTGCACATTAAGTAATAAAACTCATCTGCATTTTCAAAGATATTTTTTATTTGTTTTGTCCATTATTTTAGCTATGTCTGCTTTTCACTTTTGAGTATTTTTTATTTTATTTATTTATTTAACTTCAACTCTCTCAAATTTGGATAATTCATTTTTAAAATTTTTTTTTTAGTCTTACGTTTCAAGCCCTGACATGGAATTTGTAGCTGCAACTATACAAGCTATTGGCCGATGTGCTGGTTCGATATCTGAGGTTACAGATACATGTCTTGGAAAACTTGTATCTTTATTGTCAAACAAAAATGGTATAATATTTTTGTTAATAAGTTTGAAAAACTCATGTCATATAGTTTACTTTAACTACATATCCTTTTATTTTAGAAACAATTGTTGCAGAAAGTGTCGTTGTTATCAAAAAACTCCTTCAAATGCAGGTATGCCAAAATAATTTTTTCTCTAAATTTGTTCATTTTAATGTTTTATTTTATTTAACAGTGAAGACAATTTTATTGTTGTTTTTCCCTTCGAAAAGAGGCTCCTTTCCCATAGTTTCTTTTATATAATTTTGGTAATAAGATTTGTCAATTAATATGACAGGTGACAAAATTAATTTAATTATTTAATGTAATTTATTCATGAACAAAGTATGTGGAATCTAATTTTAACCTAAGAAGTGTGTTTCTGAATAAATAGTTTTTACAATGTTTATTATAATTAACAATTTAATAACTACTAATAATTAACTGAACTATATGACAACTATGTAAAATGTGTGTTGGAAACATAAAATGTCACATGAAATAAAATGAAAGACGGAATTAAACAATTTGTGTAATAAATCAATTTTACATGTCAGCTGATAGGCAGTTCATATTAATTATATCTGACATGTTACTCTTATGCTAATTCACAGATTTCTGCAAATCTCAAGGCAGTTGGTTCACGGATTTCAGCGAATCTATAATTTATATTCGGACCGAATTTTTTTTGAGTTCCACTTGCGTCAAATATAAATTTCGTTACTATGCAAAATCTTGTTTATAAGATACTTATTTCACCCTTACTAACATTCTCTTTTTTTTCTAGAGAAAAACTCCACTTCGGATAAACTTAAAAAACATGAGACTAAAAAAAAAAAATCATAATTACTTCAGCTAGTACCGAAGCAAACACAGAAGTATAAAATTGATGATCTAAAATGTAATTCTGAAATGGCAAACATTTAAAAGATTGTTCGCTTGAAAAAATGGTGTTTCTTTTTTAATTTTTTTAAAACTTATATTTTAATGAATAGCAATTTTGTTGCGAATTGTAGAAAAATTATTTATTCAATGTGATATATTTGATCCCTTTTTTATTTGCATTAAATTAAATTGAAAAAAATTTTAATGTTATCTTACGACATGGAAATTTCGAATCATCCATTGCAGTAATCACTTTTTAACCGATGTTTTGATTTTTTTTTTTTACAGTTCATGCAATTGATTTTCTCATGATTTTTAATATTTCAATATTATTACAACACAGAAAATTTCACTCATTTGAGTAATCACTTTTTGATGCGCTCGAATACCATCTTAAATCCATGCTGCATTTCGATCGTTTTATCAGCTATTATTGCTATAAATTTTATCAATGTTTTTTTTTTTTTTTAAATTTTCTATATTGTTTCTATATTATCGTTATGACTTATGAAATTCAATTTGTGCATTTATTAGTAAATTTTTGATGCGACAATACCACTTTTTTGTTACCTTTTTTTTTCCAATTATTATTACTGACATTTATGTGGTTTCTAAATTCAGATATTTTCATGCTATATTATTTAAAAACAAAAAATTGAATCCCACATTTTACTAATTGCTTTTTGACACAGTCAATTTGCGCAAAATTTATGCGGCACTTTAATTGAGCTTTTTTTAGTTAATGTTGTTTTTCGCATGATTTTGAAAATTCCGATTTCACTATGATACAGGAAATTCAAATGGCACACCTGAATGTTCACCATTTGACGCAATAATTATATAAATTTAAAATTATTTGACAGTTCTCGTTACTAATTTTCGAATATTTTTTTAAAATCTAGATATTTTTAATAGAATATTATTCATTATAAAGCGTGAATTTCTATACATACGTTTAATTAACCCCTTTTTGATACTCGGAATTGTCCGATTTCAATATAAATACACTTTGTTTTATCATTAATCTTTTTTTCAGCTGTCGCTGTGGATTTTAGTTCTTTATTTATTAATTTTTTTTATGTGATGATGATTTGTAAAGTACTAAAAAGGAGGACTATATTTTTCTATGTATGCATAAAAAGGATAGTCGCTATTTATTTTTGTACAAAAAGAATAAAAACTGCCCTGAGAATAAAAATTTCAGATAATTTCTTCTAGGAATCAGGAGTCTCTTATATGAAGGAACATTTAAAAGAATTTCGGAAGCACACATTTCACAGTTGTTATAGTATAAAAATAAAAGCCCGTATGCAATCAACATTTAATGTAAAATAAACCTAAAATATTCTAAAGCATTACTCTTTTGAAGTTTTGCACTGTGCACGAATAAATAAGTTTTATTAAATTTATTTATAATTTAATTTAGTGCATAAGGTCCCTATTAGTTGATGTGTGAGAAATTAATTCATATGATCACAGAAAGTCCATGTGTTCACTTTTATCTTACGGAGTCATTTGTTTAATCAGCTCTTTATTTATTTTTTATAAAATGTAATTGCTACTGTAGTTCTTACTGTAAAATTCTTTTTATAGATAACTGACCATAAGGATATCATAATAGATATGTCTCGTTTGATGGATAGAATAACTGTTCCAATGGCTCGGGCTTCTATTTTATGGCTTATAGGAGAATATGCAGAAAAAGTTACTAAAATTGCTCCTGATGTGTTACGGAAAGTTGCCAAGACTTTTTCTAGTGAAGTATGTTCATAATTTATTTTCTGCAATAAGTCCTATTCTATTAGCTAAACTATTAATAAATCTAAACTAGTTTCAGTTAAGGAATATTTATTTATTTGTGACAGTTAAAAGATAATAAACAGCTTCTGCATTCTATAAAAAAGATTATAAATAGTATAAATTGTTTTTATAATCAATGGATATTTCAAGCTATTTATTTTAGATAGGTGTTCTTTATTTTGTTTAAGATGTTTAAAAAATGTTTCATTGTGATTAATTTTTGTCTTGTCTTACTAACTGCAAGTTAAAAGAATTTTATTTATTCAAATTGTTTAGATTAATCATCAGTTTCAATATTGCTATTTATTCATAGGTCTAAACAGATCTTACAAGTCATATTGATCTAAAATAGTCATGTTGAAAAGTAACTTTTATTAGATCTCAGTTAATATATATTATGCATCTCAAAGTAAATTTTAAAAATTTTTTTATTTATTATTTTATTTGTTATTAATAAGATTTTTCATATATTTGCAGGAAGATATTGTGAAGCTTCAAACTATTAATTTGGCTGCAAAATTGTATTTAACAAACAACAAGCAAACTAATCTTTTAGTACAGTATGTTTTCAATCTGGCTAAATATGATACTAATTATGATATTAGAGATCGTGCTCGATTCCTTAAACAGCTGATAATGAACTCTAATGAAAAATCTACATATTTATCAAAGCATGCCAAAAAGATATTGTTAGCTTCAAAACCTGCTCCAGTATTACAATCTAGATTTAAAGGTTTGTGTAGTTTTTTTTTTCTTTTTCTAGTTTAATATTTCTCTCTGAATAACATTGATTAAAATTTGTAAAACATAAATTACAGAACTTTTTATTGAATATTTATAGACATTTTATTGTAGCTTTTTTTATAATGCCCCTTTTAAAAAAAATATCTTAAACATGTTCCTAGTCTATTTAAAAAAAAAATTGCTAAGTATCTTAAGATTTAAAAGAATCCTTAACTCTTACAGTAAATTTTGCTATATATTTATTCTAATATATATTGAAATATAAATATTCGCAATTACAAATAATGATTTTTGATTTAAAAACAATTTTAAATTAAAAAAATTATTAAATCAGAACTGTGGATTCAGTAATTTGTTTGTTGTGTTTGACTCTTATTCTGGATTTTTCTGAAAGCCTGACTGTAATTCACACTTTGTTAAAATTTTCTCTGAATCTCAGGAAATGATTTTGGTAAGTAAATGTTAATTTCCAAATATCTATTTCTGTTCTGTGAAATTATAGTTTAGGATATTTTATTAAAAATTACTCCTTTTTTATTAAAACATTTGAAGAAATATATTTGTTCAAAATATTGAAATTCTGGGAAACCGCTGTTAGAAAAGAGTAGTTATTAACATCTTCCATGCATACTTACGCACTTATTATAAAACATCTTATGTTAATAAAGATTTTTCTTTGAATATTTATTATAAATAACTATTACATTAAAATTATTTACATTTCTTTAACTAGTTAATTCAGTTAAATTAATTTAGTTTTGGAATCAATCGATAATTTGCATTGTCCGAATTAAGTTGATTTTTTTCATCTTTCGCTCCAAAACTGTTCTCAAAATCTGACATTTCCAATTTTCTTTAAACATTTTCAATTTTCCTCCCCCAAATATTCAAAAGATGTGTAATTTTAATCATTAATAAAAAGTTCCTTCTGTATGTTTTATCAATCTTTACTACATAGTTAATTACATATTTGTTAGACCGTGATCGTTATCAACTGGGGTCACTGAGCCATTTCATTAATGCCCATGCAATTGGATATCATGATCTTCCTGATTTTCCTCTTGAAGTGCCTGATCCATCAGTTAGAAATGTAGAATCTCAAATGCCATGGCAAGAGTTCAACGTAACAAAGAAAAAGAAAAAGAAGAAACTTGTAAAAAAGAAATCATTTTATTCTGAAACTGAGTCCAGCTCACCTGAAGAAGGTAATAAATATTTTTTATAGATGTAGAAAAACTATATCTGTGATTTGTAAAAAGGAATACTTATATATATATANTCACAAGTAGAAATGCAGCTCAGCAGTATCAAATTCTTAGAATTTTGTGCTGAATCTAATACAAACTTGCTTTTGCATTAATAAAGTTGTGTTTACAAATTCTCATGGTCCCTATAAGATGTATAAAAAGATTTTTTTATATATATATATATATATATATATAAAAATTAAAAACCATGTTTAATTTTAGGATAGTTACTCGGTGGTATAATTATTGCCTGTTTCTATTTATTATTTATTTACTATATTTTAATGTGTAGTTCAGATTTTATTTCTGTATTTAAGTAAAAGATACCAATCCAAATATTGTCTTAAATTTTAAATGTATTTATTTTGAAATTGATTGTACTGATAATTATTAATAAAAATATTTTTGTTTTTATTACTAAAAGTTTAAATTAGTTTTTATATTTTTCTACTGAAAGAGAAGCATTCTATATTTTCAATATCTTAAGTTATTGGTGAACAATGAAAATTGATGACTGAGTTGATGAGTAAATGAATGAAATAAAAAAGAAAAGAAGCCTATTATTGAATGAATGGAAGCATCAACAAATCAGTAAATAGACAAATGAATGCAGTAAGGAATCTATAATGAAATACTCAGTTAATAAAAAAACTAAATCTCAATCAACCTAAAACTCAGTCAGCCTGTTGAAAATTACATTTTTATATTTTGATGAGGCACATTTATATATTTTACTTTTTGAGATATATGTTTTTTAGTTTGAATTTTCTGTTGCAAATAATAAATAATGAAAAAACTTTTAAGCATTATAGAGAGAAGTATACTACATGTAATTGAATCATAGTTAAAGAGCTTTTTATTTAGTCCATATTATATTTAGTCTACTTTTTACTAGTCCAAATGATATTCTTTTTTCTATATCATGTATGTAAAAAATTTTTTAGGTATTTCCTTGGTACAACATTGCATACTCTAATTTCTCACAAAACTGCCTTGATAATTTACTTTCCTAAAAATGCACACCTAATCTCAAAGTTTGTTTATGCCTGTTTGTTTTCTAAAGTAACATCTAAATTAGAATTGTTTAATACATAAAGTAAAAAATAATTTTAATTTCGCTTAGACTGTACAAATAACAATTCACTTTATGTGAGACTAAGTAAATTGCTCTCTTCCTAAAATATATGCCCTCTTTTTACAAATATTATTAGATTTAGAAAAGTAAAGTTCAATTAAACATGTTCAATTAAACATATGTACAAATAAATGTGTCTCACAAGCATGTCTTATGAAACCTTTGGCGAACAAGTTTTTTTAATAATAAACTAGGTGAACAAAATAATGAAAACACTGACATGTTTTTTCATATTTCTCTTAAAATAATTAACAAATTATTTTATAAAATCATTAGGTTTTCAAATTATTACGTTTTCGAGGTCTGAGGGACCGACAATAAATCACAAACAGAAAATAGTGATGATTGAGGTAATATATCTACTATAGAAAACTGCTAGAAACTTTTCAAAATATTCAAATCGGACTTTCTTTATTAGTTGCCAAATATGATTCACTGCAAAATTAGGATAACAATTTTAAATTTTTCTCTGAATGCGCAGTATGAAAGAACTACTTCAATTGCTTATATGTTGCACAGTTTCAAACAAATTTTCCTCACATTTTATATGTATAGGAAATATGATGAGAGAAAATGCGAAATTGTGTATAACATATTGAAATTAGTTTTTTAATGAGGTAAACTAAAAAGGAATTAATATCTATCTCTGTGTTTTATAATTATTTATATTTCATGTTTATTGATGATCCGACTTTATTACGAGTTTATAAGTTGACCCTCTTATCTTTGTAACATATTAGATGTATTACAAGTCGACTTACATACCAGGATAAACAGTAATTAAAATGCTAAAATAACTGCGTTAAATATTATATTATTATTTTTTTTTAGAGGTGCACACTTTCTTTAAGAGATATTAAAAAAGTGTTACTTTCATAAAAAACATATTTATTACTTTTATAAGTTAGAGTTTCTCAACATATAATCATTGTTAGTCATTTTCTGATTTTGACAAAAATTTTTAAATGCAAAGAGTATTATTTTTTTGAACCACTAAATTGTTTTAAAAATATTTGATTTTGCAGTAAGTTATAAATAGTCTTAGCAATTTATTATAAGCACATATAAGCTTCATTAATTAATAAAATTGGTACTTTCAGAAATTTTTTTTTTTCAAATATTAATAAATGCTTATTGAAATCTTTAATGAAGTTTAGTTTCTTGTGTATTTTATTTATTATAATTTGTTATGAAGTAGTACTTAATTTTTTAAAATTTTTTTTGAGCCATTGCACATTTTTCAATAAAAATAAGTAAAGTGTCATTTTTCATAGAGATATTATACTTTTTTAATGAAAATAAAGTAATAAATTATAGTTTTCTTTAATGTTAAATAAATGTTAAATCTTAAATGTAGTTTTCCAAAATGTTAAAGATCAGTGCAACTCTTTTGTGAAACAAATTATGATTGCACTTGTTTAAGATCTGGCCAGCCTTCATAACAGTGCATTTTCCCCCCACTGATCATATCTTTTGCCATTGCTTCAAAAATTACTAAAATAAGAGGTTTTTTCTTCAATCCTAATAATATTTCTTAATTTTAGAGGTCTCATCAGCTTCTGAAGCTGGTAAAAATGAAGCAAATGGCGACATTTCTGAAGGTTCTGAAGCATCTAGTGCATCAGGCAGTTCTACTGAGAGTGATACTGATTCTGAGAGTGATGAATCAGATTCAGAAAATGAGAAGGAATCAGAACAGAATATAATTGATTTTGATGAGCCGTCTTCTTTAAATAATGATATTGTTCAGGAACCAAATACAAAATCAGCTGTTACTCCTATAACAAACTCAGTTTCAAAATCTAAAAATATTATACATTCCTCAAAAAAAGTTGAGAAGAAAAAGAAAAAAGTGTCTTCTGAATCTGACTCTACAAGTGAATCTGAATCAGAAGAGGAAACATCTGATGATTCTTCTGCCTCTGAGGAAGAAGAAAAAGTAAATGTATGTTTCAAATCCTACTGCAAATTTTATATATTACTTAAGAGTCTGTTTATTAATCTTTTACATGCGATTAAATATTTATTAATCATATTTGAAATTGTGTTATTTTATATGGGTTATGTTTGAAACATACTTAACAAGAAAAGATAATTTTGTTTCTTGAGTTACTGTTAGATTAATCTCTTTTTGGAATTTTAATAAGCAAGATAATTTAAAATTCTAAGAGTATTAAGTAAGAGTATTAAGTAAATTAATTTTTTTTCAAACATGAAATAACAATTGTAGAAACTTGCTTAATCTGTTTCTACTTGAATCTTCTGTTGATGTTTTTATTTGCATTACAAAGTCTGTTTTGATGTAATTATGAATTGATATTTGTTTACATATATTTTTTAACTGAGTTTGATCATATAAAAAAGAGGAAATATTCAAAAGGGAAGGAAATTATCATTAAATTCTAACAAAAAGTATTTTTATTTCTTTTTAGTTAATTTGTTAGTTTTATGTTAGTATTCATTTTAAGATTTTATTTTTGAATATTTTTTATTATCTATTAAAACAGTCTCAGATTATTTTTTCTGATTTATTTTTGTTTTAGGCTTCAAAAAAGAAGATGAAAGGGACAAAACCAAAGAAAGAAGTTGATTTGTTGTTAGATTTAAATGACTGTAATTATTTTAAAAATAATATTCAAATCTTAATTAATTTAACTTGCTCACTTAGAACTAGGCTAAATAATTTTCTTTTTTACTTACAGTTACAACGGAAGATGCACCAAATAATCCAATTTTACAACCTTCTGCATTCAATGAAATACTTACTCTTACACCATCCACAAATAATCCATCTAAAATCATGAATGTTTCTACTAATAATGTTTCTGCTAATATAAAGGTGTAGTAGATTTTTATTTTTATAGACTAATACTTTAAGGAAATATATATTTCTTAAATGTTTTCAATTTTATGTTAATCACTCCTTTATTTTGAAAACCTGTTCTTAATGTTGAAAATAATTTAAAATTTGTCATAAGACTGATGTTGGTGCCAGCAAACATGATCTACATTATTTCTAGACTATTTACGTAAACTTTTGTTCTCTTATTTCTTTTTAGTCTTAATGAATAAAAACTTAACTTTTGTCTAAATTTATAATTATATTATAAAGATTTAAATTATAGAAAAATAAATAAAAAAAAATTCTGAATTACTTATTTTTTCTTACATAGGTTATTTTCTTAAAATGTTGAAACAATTATTAAAATCAATTCCAAATGCCAATTAATAACTTTATCAGAATAAATTAACAAACTGAGTTACAAGATTAAGGAAAATAATATCCAATATAAATAAATATGGTAGTACTATGGTAGAAAGGTCAAGCAAAATTTCAAAATCAAGTATGTCAGCAAAATCAGCGCTTCCTCAGGGGACACACTGCCCTGCTAACATGCTGGAGCCTTTCTGTAGTCAGTGGTTCAACCAAACTGATTGTGCCTCAAAGGCCCCATAAAAAGAAAAAATAAGAATAAAATCCTTAATAGATTAATTGTGCAACATATCATCTACTAAAAATAATATAATTAATTTCAAAATAAGTGCATTTTCATCAATTGTTTAAAAAATATTGCTAAATTAATCTAGCTTTAAAAAAAGGGAAAAAAACTTAATGTGTAACAGGTCTTTTTACGAAATTAAATGGGTTATATAATAAACAAAATTATATGAAAATTTTTTTTGATTTTACTGTTTTCTATTTATTTTTTTAGACTATATCTGCTACGTATACTCCTGTGAAAGCACATGAGTTGTTGAATAAGTTTACAGGAAATGGTCTTTCTTTGACATATCGTTTCACTCGCAGTCCCAACTTATATTCTGCTAAGATGACAACTATAGAGTTGGTATTGAAAAATGAATCTGGAGTTGATATAAAAGGAATTGTTGTTCCAACAAAGGTAGTAAAGTCTTATGTTTTCTCACATATATAATTATTTAGCCTGCTGAAATGCATAAAATTTATAAATCCAGGTAGTTCAAATCCTAGTGAATTGTAATTTATTTATTTTAATATGCCTATTTTTATTTAAAACTTCTAACATAATGTTACAATTTTCAAATTGCTCTGTTAAATTTTTATTTTATTTATTGGTGTGTTTCATTTGCTGGATACTATTATTTAGCATCAATTAAAAAGCTTTATGTGCAATTTTTTTTTTATAGTCTACTTAAATTTCAATTTTTTTTATACTGTGATTATTATTTATATAATAAATTATTATTTATGCATTGTTACGATGAAGTACAATATTTTTATTTATAATAGTTTTCAAAGCTTTTTTTTTCATCAATAATGTTTACTCATTTTTTTTTTATTTATAGAAAATTGGAAATATTGAAGTGCATGGCTTTCCAGAGAGAGGTAAGTCTCCTAGTTTTTTCCCCATTCTATAAAAAAAAGAGGGGAAACAGTTATAAATATTGACTTACCATAAAAGAGTTATAGTAATTTTTTTTATGTTTTAATATAAAAAGTAATTTTTTAAAGAAATTAGTACTTTCTTTTCAATAAATATTTTGCCTTGAATATATTTATCATTTTTGATTCCTTCTTAAACTTAATCATGAATAATAAGTTCCTATCATTTATTCAACTATAATGTTTTCAATTAAATAATACTATTTTGAAAATAACCAAATGATAATGGCAACATTTCACATGCATTCATTAGTTTAACTAACTTCTATTATCTGAAAAGTTAAACAGAAAGGTTGTTCTCTGTTCTATTATCTGTAAGGAAATTAAATAGAAAGGTTCTTCTCTATTCTGTTATCCGTAAGGTTGTTAAGCAGAGTTCTCTGTTTCAGTTATCTCTAAGAATGTTAAACAGAGATGTGATTATCTGTTAACTGAGTACCAGAATACATTGTACTGGTAAACTATTATTTATTTTACGGACATTCCCATCTCAGGTCCTGAATGCATCATTTGCTATTATTAAGGAGCCAAAATGTGTGACTTGCCCAGATGTGGCTAAGAATTTTGCACTTTCGCTGCTCCTTTTTCTTTTGCTATGATGTTCCTCTGTTATATTGTTGCCACAACTGAGTGACAATTTTCGGTGTTATGTTAGGTACACAGCTAATGTAAAAGTACCAATAAAAGTTAAGTGTCTGTGTTAAATTGATCTCAATTGATTAACATTTTTATTTGAATCCAACAAGCATTAAGTCTGTGGGCAAAATTGTTCTTAATTATTTTTGCTGCAAATCACTATCTCTGCTTTTCTGTCTGTATATTTACAGTGTGGTTTTTTGTGTATACCTGTTAAGCATTTGTTTTTATTTGCCAGTTTGTGCTTCTGTGATCATAATTTTGAGTTTCAAAATAATTTTGATAAGCTTTATGAACATGATCAATGTAATTTGATTCAAGAATTTCTTTTAGTTTCAACAAAAATCCTGTGTCATTAATTTTGTTGTGTGGTATTGAAACTATACGAAACAATTTGGTCTCAAAATCATAAGTCTTTTCTTATTATGAAATTAATTTCATTAATTGTTCGATTTTGTGTAACATTAATCATATGAATTTCTTATGAAATAGAACAACTGTTTTAATTTGAAAACCAAAAAATATAAAAAAGTAAATTTAATTTATGATTTTTCTGTTGCACAAGTAATAATATTTTGCTCAATTCAAAAGTGCTGTAAAAAGATGCACTTTAAATTTTTTTTTCTTATATTTTATTTAATTAGTTATTTTTGTGCTATAAAAAGATAAGTTTTTTTCTCTGGGGAAAATATTAACAAGTATCATCTTTGTGTTGGGTAGAGAACAGTTTTATGCCCACCAATGCACCCCAAACAGAATTATGCCACCCAAAAAGAATTTGAACTGTTTTGAATTTTATAGTCAAATTGATTTTCTTGCTCAAAAACCATTAAAGTCTTGACATTGTTTTTTTTTTTGTTCCACGGATAGCATATATATATATATATATACACACATATTTGCTGAGCATTTACTTATTTTTAAATTTTGATTTCTCCATGATTAATTTCAGATGTTTTGCCACCAAATTCTACTTTTGTTGTTAGCATTGGTATAGATTACAATGAAAGTACCCAGCCTGCAAAATTTGATTTGAAAACCAGTGAAAGAAGTTATTCTTTATCAATTAAAGCTCCGATTGGTGAAATGATTCAACCAGTGTTACTCTCTGAAGGCGAATTCATGTCTTCTCAGGGTAAGTATTTTATTAAAACTCAAATTATATTGACATAATCATCTGAAATCTGATTATTTTGGTTTTATGTTGTTATATTCATTCCTGATTGTGTATTATCCATAGTTTAAATTTAAAACTGAATTTTTTATTCATTTTGGTGCTAATATTCATCCAACATTATTCATTGCTTTATTTGACCTGAATTCTTAAATCATATCAAATTTTTGTAGTAATTTTGCTGAGGAATTTCATCTTGATAAGTATACTGGATCAAGCTAAATAAAATGAATTTTTTATATTTTGTCACTGAATGAATAGAGTTAAGTAAAGCTAAATTAGTCACTGTGAAGTGTTGAATTTAAATATATTTTTTTAATGATGAGCAAATTTTTTATGTTATCATTTAATAATTTAATGTCATGTTATAATGCAAATATTTAGGTTTGATAGCATTTAAATTAATAACTGCTTTTCTGTTTGTTTATGAAACAGTTTAATGTAATAACAATATGCATTTGACTTTACTGCAATATGTTGTTTAATCAGGCTTTCATTATATTATCAATACACAAATTTCTACACTTTCACAAATTTCTACACTTTCATGAAGATTATTTTTCTAAACATATATACTTTCTTATAATTTTATAATAATTTCATTAAAATAAGATGAAGCAGTTGTTCTTCTGTTAGACTGAACATAATTGGTTCTACAATTTCCTTGACAAATCTTCATTAAATTTTTATTTAATTAAGGTATTATACTTTTTAAATAAAAATTAATGATTAGAGTGGAATAATAGCTTGAATTTATATTAAGAGAACCTTNATTTTTTTTTCTTTTTAAAGTTAGGAGTACCTTTCTTTTTTCACTTACTTTATGCATTACACTTTTTCTTTGTACTTCGGGTTCGATAAAACATCGATTAACGACACTTTTTGGTCGATCCAGAAAACCGGGAAATTCAGATATCCGGGATAGCGATGGTCCCGAGCATCCAGGATAATTGGTTCTCTACTGTATTTGAATATTTGATTCAATACTATAACTCTCCTGAAGTGATTTGTTACAAAGATAAAAGCTTCCAAATTCATCTCATATTCTTTCAGAATTAAGTTCAGTATATGTAGTCACTGTATGTAAAAGATGTAACTGTGTTGAATGTTTTCAGCAAATTAAAAAACTTATCCATTGCTAATATTTTTTTCGCACCTATCTGTTACAGTATGAACACATAAACCTACAGTATGTCTCCCCACCAAAATATTAAGCAAAAAACATGTTTAAAGGAATATGTAATAACAATAATATTTTACTGTAAAATAATATCAAAACTGTTATGTGTGATACTAAAAGAATACAATAAAATATAGGTAAAATGAAAATAAAAAATTGAATAATTTCTTAGTTAGTTAGAATATAATTAGTCTATAAAAGTTTCAATGCAATTTTATTTTTATAGTAAGTGAAGGAAGATAATGCTTCGTATAACAATTGCAAACAATATAAGATGAAAACAAAATTGCAGACGATGGAAATAGGATGTTACTTAGAATAAAGCTTTTTTTCTTAGATTAAAGCTTTATAGCTCTTCTTAAAGTAATAAGCTTGATAATAATAATAATAATCTTTTTAATAAGGAGTTTGAGCTGCAAAATAAAGAGAATGTTTTATCCATGTTACATTTTAATCACAATAATAAATTTAGCTTGATGATTTCCATAAAGACCAGCCATGGGGAACAAATTCCCCACAACCTGACTGACCATAAGCCGATTCAAAACACTTTTGGATTATAGAAGCGATCCATTATATGCACATTAATAAAAAAGAGCGCCGCTAAAAATTAAGTAATTTCCACCAACCTCAGAATTATTTCATGTTAATATTTAAATAATTTGCTTGAAGATTTAAGACTAAAAGGTTTGTTGGGAATCAAAGTAAACCTAATAATGCATATGTCACTGATTGATGTAATTGAGGAGAGAATGGTTAAAAAGGATTTTGATACTCAGTTTTCATGATGTTTAATAATTAGTTATACACTTGCATTGAAATTAAAAGTTAGGTGTTATATTTATTCCTAATATAAATATTTGTATTTGCTCTTTATAAATCTGAATTAAAAATGATTCACTAATTTACTTACTTAAAATAGAATTAGGAATGATTAAATTTATGAAAAAAAAGGAAATTTAAAAGTTCCTTAATTTATTTCCTAATTTTGTAATACTTGTAATGACATCACAGTGTTTATTTTCTTTTGTAAGCTATTTTACTTATATTTTTAACTTTATATTTAATATGGTCAATATATCTCTAGGTAAACTTAAAGGGATGAATGAAAATTCAGGAACAGTTACTTTGTCTTCTGGACATACTGATGAGAAGGCTCTAGTGCAGTATATATATGAAGCAGCAAATGTTGCTCAAGTCCAAAATAATAATCAAGAGTCTGGAATTCTTAGGTTAGTATAAACCAACTCTAAAGTGTAATAACAGTAATCAACTTGAAACTCACCTTTTGAATTCTACCAGTTGATATGTCTTCCACATTACAGAAGGCAGATGGTCATGCTCAAAATCATGCTTAAGAATTTTTTTATTAAATTTGCATTATTGAACAAATATCAATAAATTATTTGTTGTTTAATTATATTGTTTGTGAGAAACAAAATCTCTAAAGTCTTCTGTTAATTGTTAGTTGTTGTAATTGTTAACTGTTGTAATTGTTAACTGTTGTAATTGTTAGTTAATATCAGGTCGGAAACAAAATTTGTCCAAGCTGAATAAACAAACTATATGATTTTCTGTTATTTAGATGCCCCTAAAATAAAAGATTTTAAAACCAGCTGATTTTTTTTTATTCATAGTGTGGTATAAGAAACAGTGTAAAATTTATTCCATGACACTTTCAGAAGGTTGGTGGTTTTGGGAAGTAGAAAGATAAGATAAGAGGTCTGGGCATTCCCCTTTTTTGATGAAATGTTTATTTTACTGTTTATATATAGCTGTAAAAATGTTTGTGGTTTGTCTCTTAGTTGAAGCATAAAGTAAAAAAACAAATCTGTGAATATTAAATTAACACCCCTGAAATGGATAAAAATTCTAACTCTTAGTTATTTTCTTTGCTTTTACTCCTTCCTTCTTGCATCTGTCAAAATAACAAAGTGGAGCTTGCCCTCTATTTCTTGTGCTCATGATATTTCCAGGTTGGAGTGTTCAAAACTAATATGCCCAAAATCATGTTTATTTCCCAATCTATGCGTTAGATAGCAATTCTAGACTGCTTGTAATGTGTTTAGTTATTAACATTTAAACTAGAAGTCAACACTCTCCAAAAATGTTAACTATAAATTAACCAAAAATATATTAAGTATAAATACATACATATATTGTGCATACACTTAGTTTTATATATTTTTTTTAAATCATAGAGTCACTTTTATGACCATCGTCTTCACAATTATGGAACCATTAATGAGTTAATGAAAGCTTTTTTTTCTTCTTCTTTTTTTTTAAAGTATTTAGAAATATCTCGTATTTATATAAAATTAATTTCATTCAAAATTCTAACTCTCTTATGTAGTTTTGTAAAGCTTTAAATACAGATTTAAAATTATATATTTGATTAAAATTTATGAAATTATGCTATATCAATCTGCTTTTTTTTAATTTTATGTGCTATTATTTCATCTATATTAAAGTATCTATGTATTTTTCACTAAAGTTTTGATTTAAAAAAATTGTTCTTCTTTTTTTTAAATTAGATTCTCAGGTCAAACACCTGATTCTAAATGTTTGGTCCTTATCTCCATCCAAGTGTTTACAAATGGCAAAGCAAGTGTTGCAGTGAACTGTGAGAAAATGATTATTGGCTCTATGCTTTTTAAAGAATTGAAAGAAGCTCTTGCTAAATGATAATACTAAAAATAGATGTTTTTTAAAATAATTTCTTAAAGAAATGGAAGAGAAAAAGCAATACACTGTTACCTGATTGTTCTCTTCAGGGGGTTAATCTGTCTAACTCTAATATATTGTAAAAATGTACAGGGAAAATTATATTTTCATTAGGTAATTATTTCTCAATTGCTCATATTTGACAAATTTCAAATTATATTTACTATTTTTGCATTGGATTGTATCAAGGTATGTATTGGTCATTGTTTTATTTCTCTTATTCATAATTCAGTAAAATGTGCTTTTGTTGTCTTTAATATAGTTTTGTTTAACTATTAATTTAGCCAATACGTTTAATTATATGAATATCTTGATTCAGTGCCTGGAACATTTATTTGATTCTTAATTAGTATCAGTACCATGTTTACAGAATATAATTGGTATCATGAGGCATGTTATACATAATTATAAAAAATTAAATGCCTTATTTTCACAGCCAGTCATTTAATCCTTCTGTAAAAGTATCCATGTAATTTCATTGTAATTAAACTTCCTAGTATCATGTCATGGCTCGAGACAAAATTGTGTAAAATTTTCACTAATAGATACTTGCTTAATATGGAGAAAAATCCGTCAAATCTATTTGATTAAAGTTTGAGAAAAGCTGAGTTTAATGCAGAGAGTGATAAATGTGAAGTTGCGAAGTGTTTTGAAGAATTAGAAATTAAAAACGCAACATTTTTGCTATGCCATTGTTAAAATTGTCCTATGATACCAATAAAGAGTCAAATTACTTATTTTGATATCTGCTGACCTTTTTTTTGTTTTTAAGTTATTCATTTGCTTTTTGTTATTTTTTAAATTGATAATAGGGTGACCTGGAGATATTAGTATTGTGCGAAAATTTTGCAACCTCTAGAAAAATTTCTTGTGTCAACCTTTAGTTTTGTTAAATTTGTATACTTTTTATTTTTAGTTTATTGTTCTTATTATTGCACTTCTTATAATTAACTTACTTAACATTTCACTAATTTTTAATGAAATTAAATTTAAATATGAAATTAGCAATGCAAACCAGTTTTTCAATGATTAATATTAAATAAAAGTATATTTTTAGTGTTTTACTAACCATATTAAGAAAAAGCTTAATAATTCTAAAAGTAAGTTTTTTTTTTTTTTTTAAATTTTTTTTTATTTTACTTAAACAGCATAGTTTTAATATGAAAGGGAAAATGATAAAAATGTTAGTTTTTTTTTTGTTTTTTTTTTTGTACATTTTTGAAAATTTACCAAGAAAATATTTATGGTTCAAATTGTTATAAATATCTATTTATTGATGCATTTAGCAAAAATTATAAGCTAAAATTATTAACTTAATGTAATTCAATGGTGTGGAATTTGGTTTTTATTTAAGTGGGAAAAATTTAATTTTATTACCAGTGACATCTAAAGTGTTTTTAATGCTAAACTATTTTTTAAATTACATTAAAATTGAATTATATTCAAATGATTCAGAATTATGTAGCTTATCTTAAAATATATTACTTTTATGAATATTATTGAATAAATTTATTTTTATTGTATGTATTTAAGTACAGCATAATTTGTTATTTTCTAAAAAAATATTTTATTTCCTCTATTACTTGACTTCAAAAGTCTTAAATAGTTTAGTAAATTACTGTAAAACTTGTTAAATGAAACTTTGGTGTATCAGAAAAAATTGAAATGACCTAGAAATTTATTTATGTTTGCATTAAACTCTAAATTTAAGTAATGTGATCTAAAAAACTATTTTTGCAAAAATTTAAGAAAAAATTGTAGATAATAGTTTAAAATATATGTTTTTTGTGCGATAAAAATAAGTTATTATTTTAAAGAAATATGCATTTATACTGTCTATTATTACTTTACCCCTTTCCAATATAAAACAAGCTAGTGATTTATGATTATTGAATTGCTAACATTGAAGTATGAGATGTTAAGAATTATCTGTAATACCTATGAGAATGAGCCAGTGTTTTATCTGCAAGGCAAATAATTTTATATTACTTTATTTTTCATTCATTGAAAATTCTTTTTTGAAGGTTAAGGTATCAGTTTTAAGGTCTGATAGTGTTTGCTTTGCAGGGAAGGAAATTTTGTATTGATATATTTTTCTAAATCTAATATATATTTAAATGATAAAGTTTAAACTCCTTGAAAGTTATGCATTAATAAAATTGCTCAAATGCTCTTGTTAATGTTTTCTTATCTAGAGTATGTTTGTGTTTAATTATTTAATATTTGTTAATTTTTTATTAGTTTACTGTGAAAATATTTTTCAATAATAAATTTATTTCAGACATTAAATTTGACACAGTTATTTTCAACTTTTTCTTATTTGATAAAATTATTTGCTTAAATATAGATTAAGTAGTATTCCTATTATTTGATAAAAAATTTTCTTTGAAATTCATAATTACATTATGTTAATATTTTATCATAATAGCGATATAGTATTTCTTACGTACAAAAATGCGTAATATCTAAATTGTACTAATAAATAAAAACTATAATTATTTGTTTAATGACTTAGACTTTTTTTAATACACAATTATAAGTAACATTATTTTTAAATTAACTGCTGCCTGTTATTTAAAATAAATTTATAAGAATTTTATGATCAATATTTAAAAATATTACTGTTACAAAAAAAATCTATTGTTTGATTATACACAGAAATTTTATTATTATTATTATTATTTTTTTAAGTATTATATAAACATTTATTATAAATATCTCAATTTCAGTCTTAATTATGTTCACTATTTAATTGCTGTGCAATAGTACTAAATTTCTAAAGATAATTTTTGATGAAAAATATCACTATTTTTGCCTATTATAGAGGAAAAGGTGTAAATATGGGCACCCTCTTTTGTTTTTTGGATAAAGTTACTTTCAATTTGAAAATTTCTAGATTTTTATCTTTCATTAACAACTAAAACAAGTTTCCTAAATGCGAGAAGGCAAAACAATGATTAACATCAATTATTTCATTTCAAAAACGACGATTTTCAAAAAACTTTTAAAAAAGCACCAGAAAAAATGGGGTGTAAATATGGGCCCTCTTCAAAAAAGCCACCAAAAATAGTTTAAAAACAGGATAAAATAATACAAAATGGTAGAGAATTTATTTATTACAGGAAAAAAAAATTATTTACAGAAATCGCAAACATAACTGGCTCTTTCACCCCCGGCACAGTGCCCACATTTGGCACATAACACATCTTACACACCTCTCCTCGAGTGTCTTCAGAGAACTTTCCATCACAAAAACTGCAAGTTGCATTGCTGGAGTCTGGTTTATCCCCACCGTTGACATTTATTAGATTCGTATCATCATCGCTGTAGATAAGAGGAGGGTCATCGAGTCTGATGAGTCCGATGATGAATTGTATCCTTGCGTGGGCCGAATTTTCTTTCTTTGAAGGCCTTTCATCTTCCCACCCTGCCCTCTGGCCGGTCTCTTACCCCGGGAAAACTCACGGACGTCTTCTTGAGAGCACTTGTCAAGCGTCTTGGTCAACTGATCCTTGTATGGTAATCCGGTGATGAGGCTGGACCTTGCTGCTTTGCGTCCACGAGTAGTGGTTATCTTCTTAATGTTGGGAACAGGAGATATGTCGAACGGAGAAATTGCACTTGAAGTTCCCGGGGAACATTGAGGTATTTCAGCTGCCTTATCAATTGGCATAACTAGAGCCTGATGTGCTAAACTCCACTAAAAAAAGTTGGTGTAATTATGGGCACCCTTTAAATGGGGGCCCATATTTACACCAACCCCACCTAAGAAGGATGGCCACTATCACAAGTAACCTAAAAGCGTGCGTGACTAAAGNATTATTTTTTTAAGTATTATATAAACATTTATTATAAATATCTCAATTTCAGTCTTAATTATGTTCATTATTTAACTGCTGTGCAATAGTACTAAATTTCCAAAGATAATTTTTGATGAAAAATATCACTATTTTTGCCTATTATATATATTTTTTTCTAATATTACCTTTTCTTTCATATCTTAATTTCTAGCATGGAGAAATATTACAATTACTCTCTGAGCTGTAATATTTAAGTATTCATTCCCTTTGAAGTGAAAAATGGTTGAATTTTCTAGAGTTTTTATTTTAAATCTGACTTTATACATATATATAGTGAATTATGAGCTTGATTTTACTACAATATGAGTTATAATTATACGTATTATTCATTGATAATTTTAGGTGAAGGTAATTCAAACTTTTTGCAAACCATTATGTTGTACAAACCATATGATCATATATTTAAAATAAACTTGTAATCAAATATTCCTTAAAAATGCCTTTTCTTTGCTCTCTTTTTAATAATTTTTTTCTATGTAAGTAATGAAGGCATTTTTTCATGACATTTTTATGAGAAAAAATCCTTTGAAGAAGTGAAAAGGGTATGTGAATGTGTTTAAAACTGTGTTTTTATTTTTGATTGAAGATTGTATGTAAAACTATGATGAAATTATTTTGTTCTGAACTTTCTAAAATAAATTTTATAATTTGAAAGAAATTCATTTCATTCTGAATTCTTCTTTAAGCACTAAGTGAAATAATATACATATTAATATTTATGTTATTTTTTAAATTATTTTAATGTATAAAATGTTAAATATAAAATTTTTCTAATTCAAATATTAATAGTTTTATAGTCATATTTAACATGAATTTGTTAAATGTAATTTTAAAATTATTTTAGATATTTTTTTTTCAGAAACTATGTATTTAATTTTACACCATTAAAAGAAATTTGAGATTTATCAAATAAAATTTTTTTTAAAGATTATTTTTTTACACGAGTTTATTTTTAGGTAAACAAGTTTTATAAATGTAAAAATAACATTAACATGAGAATAATTGAACTTTTTAATGTATCTTTGTATAGAATTTAAATGTACCTTTTTTTTAAAGATAAAAAAAAATTGTAAAAAAAAAAAAAAAAAAACAGTTCTGGTTCTTGAATATGGAATCTCTGTTACTGACTAATGCATCAAAGGTAATTGTAGTTAAAGTTTAAAAACTAATAAAATACCATTGTCTGTAAGCAAATTCTAAGTCGAAGCTTAAGTCAACTGTAGAATGACCTAATTTATTTAGTTTCCAGACAGTACATAATCAAATTTGTACTATGAAAATTATTTTATAACAAAGTGCAGAATGTTTTATGAGTATCAACTCATTCAAACACTATTACAGTTCAAAAGTACGTAATAAGGTACATGTCATAACGTTAGGATGCCACCACTCTACATATTGATACTTCAGTATCAGGTATTTTGTTATTCAATGTAGGCATGATCTGCTCCCTTAGGCGATCTCCCTTAGGCTTAGGCATCTGCTGAGGATTTAATGTAGCTCTATGTAAAAGAATCCGAATGTGCAAGTTCTGATGGTCTGGCTGTTCAAATTCGTAGTTACCTTATCCTGTGACCACAAAACTGCTAAAAGTTATCTCATACAACAGTGTTTCCCAAAGTGTGGTATGCGTACCCCCAGGGGTACGGGAACAGTTTAGTACGTGTTCTTATACGAAATATCTTGCAAAAACGAAAATGTCAAAAAATTTTATTTAAAAACAAAGATAGCCATGAAAATTTACGATTGCGGATTTTTCTATTGGCTATTTTTTGCAGAGTTAACAGTTAATAATTAGTGGTGTCAACAGCCAGTTGTGATTTTTAACTTTTGTACAGTTTTTTTTTATAGTAAAAAATACATTCATTTTACACAGCTTTACGAAAAATTTAGAAAGGGTACACAAAACTCATAAGTTTGGGAAACACTGTTGATGAATTGAGGACGGTACCTGTCCTGTTGGAAAATCAATATATCTGCCAAAATAAAACTGAAGTTTCTGATACGTGTGTGGTATATCCAGATAGATGGTCGAATTAATTTGTTCTAAAAAAAATTTAAAAAATGGGATTACACACGCTTGTTAAACGAGTCCTAAACGCACTTGACATCTAGTATTATGAACATCCTTATTGTTACACTTAAAAGAAGTAAAGTTTGTTAGCTTATTCCGTAAATTGAATTATTATTTTTAATATGCCCTGTATTTTTAGGTTATTTAAACTTTCATAAAAATAAAAAAATTTGGCAATTTTTTAAATTATTTAAGAATCTTTATATTTTGAATATCTTAGTCTATTTTCTAATTGGCTTACGAATAAAAATTTCGTATTGAATAACATTTTTGTCTGAAATATCAATGTAAATTTCATTCTTCTCACTATCATCTAGATTAGTAACTGATACATTTTGCAGAATATATTAAACGTTTTTAACTGCTTATTAATTCATAATAATGCAAATAAAGATAACATGATATTGTAAGTCGATGTAAATAATGAAAAATTTTTAAATCAATAAAGGTGTGCTAAAATTAAGTTAATTTTTCCATCTGTAATCAACAAAAGTTTATCGTTGCTTGTTCATTGGTAAACTCATGTGAGTAAATGGTAAATTAGTTCAAATTATGTGTATTGACTGAAATAATGTGACAAAACTTTGCATTTCAGTACTTCAATAGAAAGTAATATAAGGCTGTATTTTATTTGTTCAGATATGTTACATCAATTATTTCATCGTTAAAATAGTGTTATTAAAAGAAGAAAAAAACTGGTACAATAATATATCAAGTCATCGTTATAAATATTAATGGTAGTTAAAGTGAACGAAGGCAGTAAGTTTCAGTCACAATATCATACTATTCGCGAATGACTGCTAGCAGAACGACTGGATCATCGGTTGCACTGGAGATTTCTTCAGTGTATTATGTTAACGTTCCTTCTTTATTGTTGCTTATTAAATTTAAAAAAGAAAAAGTTTTGATATTTTTTCTTATGCAAGCAAAAACAAAATATAATCTCTTTTTTTTTTTTAATTTTTTTAATTTTATTTTTTTAAAAGCCCTTAAATGTGCTTTTTTATTGTGTGGTTTTAAAAAGTGCTTAATTTTCATTTTCCAAAATGAGATTTTTCCTTTACCATGTTGATTTTCGCTACGAATTATGCAGAAAGACGCTGTTCACATTGCTCTATTCAACGTTTTCACAA